TATAATCTCTCTCTCTCTCTCTCTCTCTCTCTCTCTCTCTCTCTCTCTCTCTCTCTCTCTCTCTCTCTCTCTCGTAAATACTTCGCATTTTATATTTTGTATCTAGTATCGGGGCCTACAAACAATTCATTGGTGCATGATATGGAGAAAGTATGAGCTGCAACTGAAATTCTTTTCTTGATTTTTGTTAACTATCTTATCATTTTCATCCTTCTATTTTCCACCAAATCGTATTCTTCGATTTCACTCCTATATGATGAATAGCACAAAATAATATCGAATATGAATATGAGAAAGAAAAAACAATCAAACAATGGAAGAATGAAAGGAACCATTAGAATATTTTGTTAAAAAAAAAGACACTGAACGGGAACCTAAACAAAACATGATTACTAATCTGAGCTTTCCATTTAAGAAGAATACAACATCAGTGTCCACTATCCAGGCTTTTGGCAAAATATGAAGTCAGACAAGCAGGTCATAATGGTTTCTGCCCGTGTAAAGTAATCGCACGGCCTGTTTAGGCTTCTCTTTTCTCCAGCTTTTATGAAACTCGGATCCATATTCTTGAATAGGAATAAAACCAGATCCCCGTCCACCATGCTGCAAGTTCAGTCAGACTAAATAGTTGAGAAATCACAACTGACAATCAAATCAAGGTTGTCACAACAGCATTCCAATACTAGAATGATAATTAGATGACTAGCAAATAAAATTACCTCACGTTCCGGAATGTATACAACTATTGGTTGGCTGCACAATTTTGATAGCACCTAATGTTGATTAGTAAAAACAATTTTAGGGTTTGGCATCATTGTGAACAATTCGTAAAACTATTGAACACATGTAATTATAGATACTCCAAATCCCGAGCAGGGGAAAAGAGCTTGAAATTTCGTTAAGCTAAGATATTTTGCTCACCAGAAGTTCAGCCTCTCCACCCCAAAAATCCGGCCTTCCTATCCTTTGGCAGTAACTGCACAGGCACTCTAAAATTTAGATAATGATTTGACTACAAATTTGCAATGGTAAGATCATCACTTGGACCAGATAAAACCATTACGGAAAATCTCTAACCACTAACAAACAAATACAAGGCCTCACCCTCTCAAAGATTCCTCAACAGTTATTGCAACCAACGCCTCTTCATATTGACGACGCTCTTTGTCACTGTCACATATAACTTCTTTTACAGCCATCCGTAACTCATCTGCCATTTCATTAACTCATCATAAGTTTCTATTTCACAGTGGATAACTTCTAAAAGTCAAATAACTAATGAAATAAGAGACGGTATGTGATCGATTGGCGTCTTAGCATACCTGCACTCTCTCTCTCTTCCCTCGGTCCAAGTGACATGCCCTTGTTTTGTGCCATTCCTTTTACCTGATCCAGAAGAATTAACCTTAAAACTACAAAAACCAGACTATAATTTTCCAGTTGTTCATTTGTTAGGAGACTACAGATAATCGATAACTTGAAATGGTATTGAGGCATTGAATTTTGAAAAATAGTAACCAAACTATACCGAACGATTACACGATCCAAGTTCAGGGATCCTTCATCTCAGCTGCTATCAAATTCAGTTTTTCAGTATCCCAAAATTCAAATTTAGAGTAACAGCAAGCACATTGCATCTAAAAAACATTTTGATACCAGAACTAAGAAAACCTAACTCTTCGAACAGAAAAAAAAAATTCACCCTTACCAGGGCACGAAATAGGCAGCGGCCATCGCCAGTAACTTTTCGAACAGAATAACGTTCAACTTTCTTCATTGCCGGCGAACCTGGACTTCTGAAACGCAAAAAAACAATCACAGACAATCAGTGACTAAACTACAGTAAATTCGACCATCAGGTGTTTGATTAAAAGCAAGGAGCCTAATTATAACTTAAATTTAGCATTCTCACTTACGGCGGAGGTCCAATCCTGGCGAAGAACAACGGCGAGGCATTAGTCAGTGGGGGAAAAGAAGGTGAGCTTCTGATGCAGTGACCGGAAACTGAAGGAACCGGGGAAGATGTGATCTCGAAGTTCGCTGTGCCATGTCTGAGTTGCTGGAGAATAGCTTCTGTTCGATCAATTGCACGATCAATTTATCACGGGAGAATGATAAAACGCGCATCCATTGAAAAAAATAAAATTGTTACATGGTTACCGTTGGAGGAACTGCCGGCGGTGTAAGTCGTATCCATTATGTAGTCGACGGAATGCGGCGGCGGAGTTGTGGCAGCCGACGGCTAGCTAAATTCAATCCAAACGTCAATGGTGTTTTGGGGGAAAAATGTAAGAAATGTTTTGGTTAATTACTTTTTCACAAGTGCCCTCCAACTCCAGTTAATTCCACTTGCACCACTGAAACTCTATGCAAAAAAGTTGGAACGGTGTTTTATGATAGTGGGCCGGCTGCACAGGCCTGGAAAACAATGTGGGAAGGTTTGCTGGATCCGACCCAATAGAATATGACAAATGACCATTCCACCCTTGAGTTGTTAGCGAACATCGAACCGGGCCGAACTAAGAGGGTGTTTGGCTAAGCTTATTTTAAACAGCTGATAAGCTCTTACGTTTGATAAGATATTTTTAGAGCTGATAAGCTGTTACATCTTATTTTTATGATTAATTTTTAGAGTGTTTGGATAATGAACTTATTTCCTATTTTTACTCATTATAAGATCTTAAATAAAAAGGTGGGGTAGATGTACTTATTTAAAAAGATCTTATTTGCTCTCCAACAGCTTATTTTTAAAAAAATTAAGATCTTTTTTAAAAAAAATTACCAAACACTTTGGAAGAGCTTATAAGCTTTAAAACATCTTATAAACTCTTTTTAACATCTTATAAGCTTAGCCAAACAGTCTCTAAAGCACCCGAAATTGTCACGTCACACGTGAGGTTCACACGCGTTGGGTATAGAAAAGCGCTAGAAGGGAGTTGGGGTTTTTTAACGGCAAACCGAAAAACGCTGCCACTCTTCATTATTATTATCAACGCTCCAAGCACACTGGTAGGTTTTGTTCTCTCTCTCATAGAAACCATCGAAAAATATATGTGTGATTTGTCTCTGTGTTTCTTTTAATTGTTCATCACAGTGTGGGTGACGATCTCCCCGAAGCTCCACTTCTCTCTCATAATACCATCTCTCTCTCTTTCTCTTCTTCTTTTTTTTTCTTGGGTAAGATCAGTTGTTTTCCTTCTAATTTCTGGATTGGAGGAAAGTTTACTCCCATTCGCCCGATCGCTAACTCAGATCTCTCCAACTCATTTGTTTCTATACGGTGCCTTTCTGTTCCATTGCTGCATTCGGCCTATTCGGTTTGTTTTCTGCTTCTTTTTTTATATTTGGTTAATTTTTTGCTTAATGAGAATCTGGATTGCTTGAATGCTGGATGGTTGTGTTATTTCGTGTTGTTTGTTTGAATATAAGATTGAATGTGTTTTTTTTGCTTTGAGATGATTCAAGTTACCTGCCTGATTTTGGCTAATTTAGGCAAGAAGTTCTGTTGTTGTAGTTATCTCAGCTGAAGTATTTTCGTCTTTCGTTTCTTTATCTGTGTGACTGTTCTATAACTCTATTGGGTGGTATGTAGAAGCATAATGTTGTGGAAATGAAGATTGTGCTTTTTGTGCAATTAAATCACTCTTGTCTAATTGCTATGTTCGTTACATCTCGGCGTACAGCTAATTTGTTTCCTAATTAGGTAACTTTTCTGTATGTACATCAGTTAAGTTGAAATTTTCTGCTGCATCTGGATATCTGTTCGCAGGACTTATTTTTGTGCTTAGTAACGTTTGTATTCGTTCCCTTTCCCGTCTTCAACCTTTTATATGCCTTGCTTCAAAATTTCCAAACTAAGGATTCTATTTGAAGCATCAAGGCGCTCATGTGGATTCCAAGTTTTGTTCATTTTCTGAGTTTATAGTCATTTTTTTTCAAACAGTTACATCACTTCTTTCCTTGTTGCTTTCACTATTTTGGTACATTTTCAAATGTCCCGATCTGTTCTCTGTGAAAGGGATTGACGACCTTGGTTATTCTGTTGCAGTGGGAAAATGGCTTCCATGGCCCAATCTCCGATTCCTTTCACTGAGAATTTGGCTTTGAAACCTACTGCATCTGATCTTTTGAGAAGCTTAACTAATGGTGTCTGTGGTGTGCCACTAAAATCCCTTGGAAGATCCCAATTAGGAGCAAAGAGGAGAGACTTTGCTATAACAGCGAAGGTTAGGAAAGTGAAAAAGCATGAATATCCATGGCCAGAGGACCCTGACCTCAATGTAAAGGGTGGAGTGCTAAGCCACCTCTCCCCTTTCAAGCCTTTGAAAGAGAAGCCAAAACCAGTTACTTTGGATTTTGAGAAACCTCTCTTGGACCTTCAGAAAAAAATAGTTGATGTATGAATCCTCTAAGCCTCTCCGATATATCAACTTTTTACATAAACCCTTACAAAAATGTCATCGTGTAACTCGGTTCTATTGTTCTTCCTCATACAGGTGCAAAAGATGGCAAATGAAACCGGTCTGGATTTCACTGATCAGATTATCTCACTAGAGAATAAATATCAACAGGTTTAGCCAATAGTATCCATGATATGTCATTTAGTATTCCATTATGAGCAGCATGGTTGTTTACTATGTTATTTATCATGGTCCTGATACTTAGAAGGCAAATTTATCATCTACTAGACTTGCATAAAATATATTATGTTATTCCAAATACATGATTGCTGCCAAATTTTATTTATATATCTCCATGTTAATTGCAGGCTCTGAAAGATTTGTACACACATTTGACTCCGATACAACGTGTTAACATTGCAAGGCATCCGAACAGGCCAACATTTCTTGATCATGTCTTCAATATTACTGAAAAGGTTCGGTTGTTGTCTCAGTCCAACCTTTACCTACCACATTATTTTCTTTAAATATAAATACATTTTTTTGCAGAATTTAAAATTCCATTCACATATGTCTAGCTCCTCTACTTGGGAGTTCTGAATAAAAACTTACATTTACACATTTCTAGTTTGTGGAGCTCCATGGTGATAGAGCTGGATATGATGATCCTGCTATTGTCACTGGACTTGGTACGATAAACGGAAGAAGCTACATGTTCATGGGCCATCAAAAAGGCAGGAACACAAAAGAGAATATCCAACGCAACTTTGGGATGCCAACTCCTCATGGGTATGCATTTAGGAAATCGATTTTTATATCAGTTACTTATTCATTGACTTGTGAAATTCGATAACACATTCTATGATATCCTAGTTATGAAAATCATAGTAACACTTGGAATGAGAGAAACCTAGTTGTGTCCTGTGCTAAACTATTTAATTCTTTCAACAGTTATAGGAAGGCACTTCGCATGATGTATTATGCCGATCATCATGGATTTCCAATTATCACTTTCATTGACACTCCAGGGGCTTATGCTGATCTCAAGTCTGAGGAACTGGGCCAAGTACTGTATACAATTCTGCAACTGAAATACTTCTTAGTGATTGAAGTATGTGCATGCTAATTGTTTGTTTACCGACCTATAGGGGGAAGCGATTGCTCAGAATTTGAGGACTATGTTTGGTCTGAAAGTACCAATTATTTCAATTGTTATGGGTGAAGGTGGCTCTGGTGGCGCTCTGGCTATTGGTTGTGCTAACAAGCTGTTAATGCTTGAAAATGCAGTCTTTTATGTTGCCAGGTACTTTTATGGCAACTGATTATGCTACTACTAGATACCTTAATATTCTTCTAACGCATTTTCATGGTCTAGATTGTTATATATGATGATCCTAGACTTTTTAATCTCAATTACAATGTGCTACCAAGGCTAATGCTCCTGCATTTGTCCCAACTATTTTGACTTGGTTTTTCATTCCATGCGACAGCCCTGAAGCATGTGCGGCAATCTTGTGGAAGACTGCGAAAGCTTCACCGAAGGTGATTTTAAGGATGTTGGATCTGGTAATCATATAATAATAGATGCGACCATTGTAACTAAATCTACTTCGTTTTTCATTCGTTACAGGCTGCCGAAAAGCTAAAAATAACCGCTACAGAGCTGACTAAGTTACAAATTTGTGATGGTGTCATCCCAGTAATATTCTTTCACCTTTTCATCAATTTTTGAACTTTTTTTTTCCTTTGTTTTTCTTCCATTTTCCTTTTTCACTATTGTGAAATTCCTAAACCTAGAATTGCATTTTATGCTAAGAATACAAGATAAATGTTAATTGGGCTTTTTCGAGTATGGAGTTTTCTTTCCAAATTATTTTTGGGGAAGACTGACAAAGTTGTAAGTTCTTTCATGTATACCGTCTTCGATTCAATCTTAAAATTGTTAAAATCTTTGGCTCTTTGTAGGAACCTCTTGGTGGTGCACATGCAGATTCATATTGGACTTCTCAACAGATAAAAACTGCAATTGTTGAATCAATGGATGTGAGTGGCCTATAAACCATTCACCATTCTGAGTTTGTGTGATTGTTTGTATTCATCTTAAGCCTTCAACATATCTGTTGTCTGCTTGCAGGAACTCTTTAAGATGGACACTGAAACCCTATTAAAACATAGAGCTCAAAAGTTCCGGAAACTTGGTGGATTCCAAGAAGGAATTCCCATCGATCCCAAAAGGAAGGTCAATATGAAAATGAAAGAAGAACCTATAGTTCCAATCAGCAAGACTTCAGAATTAGAGTTGAAGGACGAGGTTGAAAAACTGAAACTGCAGATATTGGAAGCTAGCAAGTCTTCGGCAGAGCGCCCAGAAACTGGATTGAAAGAGATGATTGCGAAATTGGAAAGGGAGATCGATTATGAGTATGACGAGGCTGCAAAAGCTATAGGTATGGAGGACAATATTTTGATGTTGAGGGAAGAAGTTGCAAAAGGAAGGAACCTAAGTGACCAGCTTGCACATCCTGCTTTGAAGGAAAAGATCGAACAAATGAAGGAAGAATTTGCCAAGAATCTCCCTTCGGCTCCTAATTACCCCAGCCTGGTATATAAACTTCAGATGCTGAAAGAGCTATCCAAAGCTTTGAATTTTTCAAAGAAAAGCACTGACAAAGATGAACTGAAACTTGAAATTAATAAGAAATTTAACGAAGTCATGGATCGTCCTGATGTGAAACAAAAGATCGAGGTACTGAAGGCTGAAATTGAAAACTCAGAAATTGATTCAAATCCGGAGCTAAAGGAAAAGATTATGCAGTTGAAAGGAGAGTTAGAGTCGGAAATTAAGGGGGTTCTTACATCCGTGGGTTTGCAGGTGGTTTCTTCACGCCCAGAAACAGTGGCAAAAATAAATGCCTTTGATCAAGAAATTAATGTAGTTATAGACAATGTTGTCAATTCATCGGATTTGAAAGACAGGATTGAGCTGCTAAAGGCAGAGGTGGAGAAAGCTGGAAATAGACCGGATGAGGACTCGAAAAGCAAGATTCAGGCCTTGACTGCAGAAATCAAGGAAGCCATTTCGGATGCTATAAGTTCTTCAGAATTGAAAGAAAAACATGAAAGGCTGGCAGCTGAGATATTAGAAGCTTCAAAAAATGGAAGTTTAGGTAAAGAGAATACAGAAGATTCACTAGTGCATCAATCTGGAAACTAACAGCAGCTTTTCCTGATGTAAGTGTGTGTGTCTCCATATATATATAAATATATATATTTGCTATTCATTCTGCGTAATTTCGTTCGTCGTATAAATGACTTTCTGAGGAACCACCGTTATTCACAGAAGAGGATGGTACAAAGCTGACGATCGGCATGGCTTAAATCTGTTGAAACTACATTGACATACTGAGGAATGCGTCCCTAAATCGTGTCATTTTAGTTGTTCTTAGAGAGCGAAAACTGCATAAATCATTTGGTGAGTTCATTAACAGTTATGGTGAGTTGTAATTTCCGTAAAATTATAGTAATCTGTGTCGAATTGTGTTTAGGTTGAATAAGATGAATCAAGTTTTGAGGCCAAATGATCTGGTAATTGTGGCTTGTTCGATGTGCCGTCATCTCCATCGTTGACAAATTGAATGTTATACAACTCATATTTGTGAAATTTAAATATATTTTATATTAATGTTTTTTGAGGTACATTATCCTGATTATATAGGTCATTTGGCTTTTCTTATTTATTTTTTATTATATTAACTTTTTAAAATTCATATAAGGTATAAATGCTTCCGTTTTTGTACCTTTTTCTATGAATATCTTCATGTTGCATCATTGGTATGTTAGATACGCTAGATTGTTCAGAAATTAAAGAGTACAATCTAAATTAAAAACCAAGAATTTTAAATTTATAATAGTAGGGAAGAAATGTGTGTTGCCCCTACGATGCGAGGTGAAGGCATAAGTTCTATAGCACGATGTTGAGTCGGAGTTTTGGGCGAGCTTGCGAGGTGAAGGCATAAGTTCTATAGCACGACTCTGAGGCGGAGTTTTGCGCGAGCAAAAGCTCATTGTACCTAAAAATTCATTAAATACTACGTGTCCAAACTAAGAGGTAATTAGATTAAAAATCATAATGAAACTTGCATATAAATTGGATGTTCACTCAAATTTTTACTCCCTAATATATTTTAGTAAAATAACGTAATCATACAATTCAAAATCCCTCTTATAACTTGCTTATATCATCTTGATAAAAAAGAAAAAAACTTGCTTACATCATCAAACTAACTCGAATATTATTCGGTCTTTTTTTGTAAATAAAATATTCATTCCTATATATATAAGCCTGCATTTGTTGATATATAAATATGAGCAAAATTTATCTCTTGCATTCCTCAATAAATAAAATAAAAAAATATCTAAAAAATTGATCTATATAATTATACTTCTAATTGTACATAATAAAAGTTGAGGTCCAAAATTATTTTTCCTCATAACTCATAAATAATACATTTTAATTACACAACAATAAGAGATGAATTTGGTTAAACTTTTTTTTTTTTTTTTTAATTTTTTAATTTATTTAATTTTAAAATTATAGATTTTTGGCCAATTAAACAATATGTATTATTGTATTCCATTACTTTGCACATCTACCCCTCAAACGTACCCTTTTTACATCTTCGGTTCATGGCATAAAACATTACACACAGCGATTAACCTATAAGTACATACGACGAACACAACATTTTGTACATACATATATGATATATACATAAACGGCTGTGTATATTTTAACCAACATCCTTTTTCTCCTCCGTTACCTCATGGATTGAATTACATCACAGGCGATCTCTCTTTCTCTCGAACCACGACGGGTTGTTTTTCTAGGGTTTTGTGAAGTCGAAGTTCGATTGAACTTGTGTTCGATTGTAGGGTTTTACTCGTTTTAAGATTGAAGGAAGGATCTCTGGCTAATTTCATTTCTTTCACCGGGGGTTCGATCAATTAACCGGTGGTTCAAAGTCTTTCGTTGAAAATTACCTCCACGCTGGTATCTAATTTAGTCCTTTGATTGAGGTTAGAGCTGTTTTCCTTGTTCCAAAATATTGATTATTGTTTTGTTTTGACGCCTTCTCATTATTAGGCCGATGTTTTGACAAGAAAATTTGTGCCTATTGTATAAATTATGTTTTTAAGGGTTTATTTGTTTGTTTCTCTTTTTTAATTCATGTTATTTGCCAGAAAAGTGAAGAGCGGAAGTAGATGATTTATGTTTTAGAAATATGACGACTGTAGTTGTTGGGATATGAAGGTTTATGTTGCTCGTTTAGCACTAACAGAAAAGTAAGAAATCTTGTTGACACTTTTTCCTTATTGGTTGCCAATGGATAAAATTATGAATTAAGTAAATGTGTTGATAATTGTGTTTGATATTTGCCGAGCTTGGAAGATAGTGTTAAGCTGCAACACTGATGACCTATTTTGGATTCTTGAGTTTGGTTTTATTTAAGGAATCTGATTGGAAGTATTTGGACTACTAAAAAGAGCTGTTGGACTCTTTGAGTTATTATGCTCAAGTAATGGAGCACTCTTGTTCATCATGGTATTGTGTATCATACTCAATTCTCTTCAGGTTCAAACATGCGAGGTTCCAATAATTCCTTGCTTTTCTCGGCAATTCTTGTGGCATGATTAAATAAGATAATATGGCAGTGTTCTAAGTAATCTCATATAGGAGAAGGGTGAGAGTAACATACATCAAGAAATCCATCCATATGATGTTTCTTGATAAGTATATATATATACACACAGGTCCCCTCCTAATGATTCGAACCCATGTCCATCTAGGTCATAGATGCAAAGTGCTACAAACAAGCTACCTTGTCTTGTCAATATGTTATTGATAAATACTATTTTTGTTGTTGGAAGTTCAAATTTCATGTATCTTTGTATCTTCAGTACTTACTTTAGTTGAGGCAACAAATTCTGTAGTAATTTTTGGACAGTAAAACCACAATATTAATCTTAAGTGGTGTATCTAGAACGCATCTGATTGAACTTGAATGATTGCCAGCATGGACTTGAATGCTTCCCCTGAACCAGAAGAGGATGAAGTGTATCCTGGCTCACACTCGGAAGAAGATAACGGGCCAGAAGAACGAGTTGAGTACAAGCATGTGGAACATGGCGAGAGTGCTGTTCAGTTATTACGCCGGGTATTACTCTTCTCTAATTTATTTGTGCCTAATATTTAGCCAGGTAGTTTCTGATTCTATCTGTACTAGTTTTTTAATTGTAGCATATTATCATTGCAGCACGCGTGTTGTCCGGCTCTGATATTAAATATTTCTTGGGTTATATGCAAATTTAAGTAATTGAGTGTATAAATTTAACTGAGTAAAATTCCAGTCATTTGGTTGTTGGTTTTGTTTTTTTTGTTCCAAGGTTTCAGGTTTGTACTGATTTTCTGAAGTTGCAATTCGTGAACATATTATCATTGCAGACATTGGCGTTATTAACAAAGTCTTGCTCTAGGATAACGATAATCAAATTTAAGTAATTGACTGTACTACTTTAGCAGAGTAACTCCCGCTACTTGGTTGTTGGTCTTGGCCTGGTCAATATTATGCGTAATAAAATCACAAGATTTTGGGTAGTATCTTTTGACACTGATTATGAGTATGCTCTACTGCTTATCATTTATTTGAGCTTGACAAGTGAAGCAGCAGTATTAATAAATAGTGCGTTGTCTGCCTTTTGAAGTTTGAACCCACATGGTATTTTCTGCTAGATACTGGTACAAGCTCCTGCTTGGTATGATTAAAAGAAGCAATAATGTTATATGTGACTTGGTGTACTGGCCTTGAAGCACTGGCTATAGGGTATAATCACCCTCAGTTGTGTGGGAGCTAAAATGCTATCCAACTACTGTAATGCCACCTCCAGTCGAGAGGGTGTGGGTGTGGGAGTGGGAGGGTTGGTGGAAGGGGGAGATCACACAGGCCCGGGGACGAGCCATTTCTCTCGTGCAACTCCACTTTTTACTTTTTTCCTTCATTCTTTGGATGTTTTTATTGTTTTCTTTTTAATTCTTAAAAAAGTCTTAAAAAAATTAAAATGAAACTTTTATTTTATGTGTTGCATATAATTTAAAAATTTAAAAATAATGTTTATTATTACCCTAAGTTTGTATACCACCTGTTGTAATGAGTATGGACTATGTCTTAATAGAGGCTCTGTCTCTTCCTTTTATTCACCTTTTCTGTAGATGCCGCAACTTGGTTTCTTTACCTGTCTATCTTAGGCTAACCATAAGTTGCTGAACCAGGGAACTGGTAAAATACTAAAAAACCCCAATTGCATCATTCAGCGTTCTTGCAATAAGTATAGGAAAACAAGGAGAACTTTTCAAAAAGCCTATTTCTGAATAGTGTTTGGCATATGTTTTGAAATAAATCCAATGTCAAACTCGAAATCATCAATGCATTTGTTCTTTTATCCCAGGAGCGTCAGGAAAGGATGCGACGGATGCAAAGACAACCTCCTGATGAAAGACAATCCTATGGACATCAGTCTACTGGGTATCAAGTAAAAAGACAGAGACCTAATAGGAAACTTCCTCCAGGTACATCATTGGCCAATTATGTTTAATGGACATGTTAATATCCATAGTTCTTTATCAATTGCTATTTTGATAGTGCAATTTATGTGTCTAACATGACAGGTTGGTTGGACTGCCCAGCAACTGGAAGCGACATAGGTTGTTTGATCCCTTCAAAAGTCCCTTTAGATGATAGATTCAATGATTTAATTCCCCCGGGTAAAAGATACTCATTTAGGCAGGTGAACCATCAACAGAGAGTTTTAGGAAGAAAGGTGAGTAAATTTAGTCCTCTTATTTATTTCTTTGCTGATTTTTTTTAAATACATTTGATAGTTGATACTCATTTTAGCTGCTAAAAACATAATATGATATGATGGTCATAAAATGTACAATTGGTTGTATGAAGTGTGATTTTTGGTACTGCACCCCTGCAAGACCAGATAACTTTAATGACCAAATCTGGAAGTAGGTTTGAATTAAACGGGGTCCAGAAGCCATATGACCGATTTTGAAGGGCATCTTTCAGTTTAAACATGCATATATGTGTTCTTGACCAATTATTGTTTTGCCTATCCATATTTGCTTTCTTTGAAAGTCTGTGCAGGCTGAGGTATTAATTTCAGGTTTTTCTTCACTTTCTTTACCTTTTGGATTTGTGAATGCATTGCATTGATCAACATGAATGTTTATCTGCAGAATGAACTTGTGTATATCATTAACTGGAAATCACTTGACTAATCTTTTTGCCTTAGTGTAGCGGATTGAAGCTAATCTTTTTAGCTCCATCACAATGATTGGTAGCAATTTTTGCAGACTCACTTTGTCTCTTACTCGTCTAAATATTATGTCTTAGAACGAGTGAAAAAAAGTGAAGATGTTCATCCATGTAGTACGATTAAGAAAACATAATTGGGGTGTGTGTCCCTGTTTAGTGTGGGGGGTGGATAAGTGTAATTGAAAGAAATATGGAGTTTACAACTGCTAAAAGACTAAATAGTTTCTCTGTAAAAACTGTATTCCAAGTAATGATAGCTATATGGCATACAATATCATCACTATGATCATCATCATCCATTTTATGCAGTTATGCTAAATCTCTATTGCCATATGGTAGGTATACCGTAATGCCTCCATTTCACAGTTTTAGAAGACGTAAGTAGTGGCTACTGGCTGGCTAGTGCCTAGATCCTGGTGCATGATTTTAATTTTCTATTCAATATTTTTCAGATTGCTTTGATGATTGATTTGACCAATTCAACTAGATACTATAATGTGATTGATTGGACAAAAGAAGGTATTAAGCATGTGAAGGTATGTAAACACTCTGCTTCCTTGGATAATAATTTGTTGTTCCCCACATGTTTCGACTTGTGATTCTTCAGCTCCTGATAAGTCCTTCTAATCCAGATTGCATGCAAGGGGCGTGATTCAGTTCCTGATCCTGAAGCTGTAAATAAGTTTTTTTATGAGGTAAATATCTTTTAGACCCATTGCTCTGCATAACCATAATATTTCTAGGGTCGGTTCTAATGTCCGTGTAACAAGAAAGCATAGGATTATTCCACAACATTGTTATAGAAGTTATATTTGTGTGGCCCATGTAGACATCATCAGGATGTTAATGTGAATACGGTCTTTTATATTGGATGCATGTTTTAGACTGGTAAGTAGGAACTGGAGCTAAATAGAATCAACAATTTGATCCCTAACCTTCTATATGGGATTCATCTTTTTGTTTTACTGTACTCGTGATATATGCATGTTCTGTCCCTCCTTATCGTGGCAAGTCCGTCTGAGAAAAGTGGTGTGAAGAATTGGCCATTAAAAATGGTATTTTCTTGAAGCAGAATTAAGCAGAGAGAAAAGCTCCAGGTGTATGTGTTCTCGGGCTTTTATGTATGCCCTGTCATAAGTCTCCATTATAATCTATATGACAAATTGCAGAACACAGGTGCTCTGTTTTCTTGATTCATTTTTTCTAGCAGTGATACATCTTCTTAGTGCAAAGAAAAACGTTTGGAACATCCCCAGAAAATTAGAAGAAAGTTGTATGTATGTCCTGTCACCAGTCTACGTTGTAATTTTTATGAGAGATTACAGCCTATCAGTGCTCTGTTTTATTAATGCGCTATTTCTAGGAATGGTATATTCTTTTAGTAGAAGGAAGATGGGATGATCCATTAACTTAGAAGTAATCTCTTATGGTACCGTATTTTGAAGCGAGATAACCATAAAATAGTCATCGGTTGCTTAGAGCCTTTTTTATAAGTTGACTGAAAAACTTCAGTTTCAGGAAAAAGAAAAAAAAAAAGAAAATTGCATGCGAGAAGCACAAAACATGCTTTTACTATTTTAGTTGTTGAATTCAAGTTTTGCTATTTTATGTTGGGGTAGTTGTAGGAACTGATTGGTCGAACCAACAAAGTTTATGATTTTTGCTTCGTGGTAATCACACTATTAGGTCAACTTCGTAGGTGAGGGAGTTTTTCAGAGATTTGAGGGAAGCCTCATCTTAAAAGTATCTATTTCCCATATCCGAGCTAAAACATGCTATCCTATCTAGTATCAACCTCATACATATATTTGTGGATTTCCTTCCATTTTATTCATATACTAACAGCATGCTGGAGCATACCAACGTTATCAAATGTTTCTTTCTCACAAGAACATCTTTTGCTTCCAGATTTCCTGAACTATAGACATTAAGAGTGGTCATATGTTTTTATCAGGTTTCACAATTTCTGGCTCGGCAAAAGAAAGAAAAGAAGTTCGTTTTTGTTCATTGCACGCATGGGCATAATCGTACTGGATATATGATTGTCCACTATCTCATGCGTACACTGCCTATATCTGTCTCCCAGGTGAGCTATCATTATATATTCCTTCATTTGTTCGCAGTGTGACAATGGTATGTCTCAATTTTTCTGTTTTTTATGAAGGCAATAAAAACATTTGCTGATGCACGTCCACCGGGGATATACAAACCTGATTATATTGATGCCTTGTACAAGTTCTATCATGAGAAGAAGCCGGATATGGTTGTTTGCCCTCCAACTCCAGATTGGAAAAGATCTTCTGAGCTTGATCTCAATGGTGATGCGATGCCAGATGATGATGACGATGATGGAGATTCTGTAGCTCCTCCAGATGTATGTTTTTATTTTTCTTAAAATACACCTCCTGTTTTGTACTGGTGGTCTTTGATGAACATTGTAGATGAAATTATTGAAGTTGACACCATCACTGAGCTAAGTTAGTATCTTAAGAATTTGTGGCTCAGTACTTGAATTTGTTGCTGAGCTGTAGTCATCAGTGTCGTTCCTTTTATTGAACTTGGGAATGTGTAATATATTTCAGGAGAGTCACGAAACGCAGGTTGTCATGACAAATGATGATATATTGGGAGATCCAATCCCTGTTGACCAAGAAAAAGCAATGCGGAATTTCTGCTATCAAGTTATGGGTTTGTCAATAGAGGTTGGTTACATGGAAGTCACTCATTTCGATTTTTCGCCTGACACTGTGTATCAAAAGATATTCAATATTTTATGCTATGGTTTCTACTATGGATGCTTAAAATTAGCAAAATATGCTTTATAGAGCTGCTGTGTTCAGTTCTGCTGATTCATTGTTGCTTATGTCATGTCTATCTCATTTATTTACAGACTAGTGGTAAAGCTCAGCATTTTCCTGGCTCACATCCAGTTTCTCTCGACAGGTTGGTCAACTTCTTCCTAATTTATGTAAATGGTTGTGGTTTGGTTACTCCTACGTGCTTTTTTGGTTCTGGACCTGTTCATGTTCTTCATATGTTTTGAGATCTCTTTTATAGCAGTCCAGGGGCTATCTTGTTCAGTCTGTTTTTGAAGTAAAGAATTGTGTAGGAAGCACCAATAAATCTTGACAACGTGTTAAATTTTGATCTTATTTTTCAACTTGGTCTAGTCTTGTCATTCAAATAACTGCAGAACATCACTTGTTGACCTAACTGACATAGATTCCGAACTTAAACAGATTCTAAATATATTCTAATACTCTGGTCAAGCTGTAACAACTTGTAGCACAAACAAAATAGACGCAGAATAAGACAGATAGTGAATCCAGTCACGATAAGCTGGCACACAGTTAATCCAGTCATTGTCATTTGGGCCTTGCATACAATTATTTTTCCAATATACTTCTCACCACTGAGAAATCTGTGAAATTGAAGAGTTTCCAAAAACATGAATTCCACATCCTTACAAGTATTTTAGCTCATACTTTTCCGTGACACCATAAACCTTTTTAGTTAAGTAGTTAGAGTGAAAATAGAAAGAAAATTTTGATGACGCCATTTAATTATGGGGATCATTCTTGCCTACTGCATCACTTGTCTGATATCCGGACATTAATGATAGTGACGGATTAAAATGCTATCACATCTTGATTGAAGAATTTGGCGTGGGCTTGAATGTACCCTGAATTTGATTTTTGGTAGCTTGAAGGTCATTTCTTTTACGTAAAATTAGTAATTTTGTTATTCCATATGGTAATGACTTGGTGATCATTTTATACATCCAGGGACAACTTACAATTGTTAAGGCAGCGTTATTATTATGCGACATGGAAGGCTGATGGAACAAGATATATGATGCTTATCACTATTGATGGTTGTTATTTGGTAGATAGGCATTTCAATTTTCGGAGGCTCCAGATGCGATTTCCTTGCAGACATGAAGTATGTATCCCTATTTCCTTTTTAAAAGATCTGGACATCTTCATTGATAGCATTGCAAATGTAATTGTTCTTTCCTCTGATATTTGAATTTGTGTAATATAATTTCTCCAGAAGGGAATGACTGAGAAAATGTTTCATCATTTCACTTTACTGGATGGAGAGATGATAATTGACACTGCGCCTGATACAGGGAAGAAAGAAAGAAGATATCTTATCTATGATATGATGGCCATTAATCACATGTCCATTATAGAGGTAACATGTAACCTTCCTCGACTTTCTTATTCTTGATCATTTATTTTTGAGAAACTGTAAGTCGGATGGAGCGCATGGAATGAATTTTCAGATTCTTCTACGAACCCTTACCATCTCTTTATTGTCATGATGATGATGATGATGATGATGATGATGATGATGATGATGATGATGATGATGATGATGATGATGATGATAATAATAATAATAATAATAATAATAATAATAATAATAATAATAATAATAATAATAATTAATATTTTATATATATACATATTATACACACACTCACACACACACACACACACACACACACACACACACACACACACACACACACACATATATATATATATATATATATTTGTTTGTTTGTTTTTTCTACTATCTCTTTGCTCAACAGTTGGTGTAACTCCATTGCATGAGAGAATATAAAGGTGTCATGAAAGATTTTGGGTTCTTATGTTGGCTTCTATAAACTTCATTGGATGCGAATATTCTAACATGTGATGTGTGTTCACTCGGTTTAAAACAAGTGATCCCTAGAGACTTGTGCAAATGCAGTTGGCAATGATGATTATGCTTTGTAGGTGAAATAGTTTCTTCCGTTACTCGGCATGATAACTTTTGGGGAGAATTGGACACCAGTATCTTAGTTTCTTTTCTTTCTTTTTATCTTAGCCTCACAAATAAATATTTCTTATACCTCAATGTTTGTTTTATTATATTCACGATGATGGAATCAGCAAATTAAGCATTGCTGCTAGTGGGTATAAAAGCTTATAACGTATTTTCAACTGAAGTTAATTAATCTTTGATGGTGAGAAGTGAAAATTGTATCAACTTGCAACCAATTTTCTGCTTGCCTCAGTTAGCCTGGCCCATATGACAAGGGTATTTGAGCAAATTGAACACATATGACATTTAAGCGTATAATCATGCAGCTTTTTTCTCTAGAAATGTTGCATTCGGCAACGGTTGGTTTCTGCTTGAAAGGCAATGGCTATGTACTGTTGAGGAATATTTATCACTTTTTTGCAGTTTGATATTCGTTATTTGGTATCTGGGAACTCATCAAATGAGCACTATGAATAATTATGTGATATTTCTGTATTTTCCTGTGGAAGACGGAATATAATTTATCATGTTGCTGCTGCTGATTTATCATTTAACAGTATTATCCATGTATATAGTCTACTAGGCAAGAGTAGGCCTAATAAGCAAAGGAATGAGCATCTAGTCTTATACATAGTTGAACTATAGTAATCTAGAACCCTTTTGTTGTTTTTTCATGCTTTTATGGTTCTAGATGAGAATGCTTCTTTGTAACACAAATATGCTTACATGCAGAGACCGTTTTATGAACGTTGGAAAATGCTCGAGAGAGATGTAATCGAACCTCGGAATTTCGAAAGACTAATGATAAATCAAAACCCAAATTATCCAACTTCATATTATAAATATGAATTGGAACCTTTCAGGGTTTGTAATCATCTAACTTTAACATATTTTTCTTTCTGCTCCCTCTGTTTCTGTCTCTTTTATCTATCTATTGCTGGAGTTCTCATGGGACTGCCTAAACTTGATAGGTAAGGAGAAAATCGTTTTGGCTGCTTTCTACCGTTACAAAACTTTTGAAGGAGTTTATTCCAAAGCTTTCTCATGAAGCAGATGGTCTTATATTTCAGGTGCTTGGGTAATTTCATTACTATTTTTTCTATCTTGATCACCCATCATGCCAAAACTATAGAGCTTAAAGTCGCTCATTTGATTTTGCCTAACAATGTCCGTCTGTTGACATTGAACTGAAAAATGAAAAGAAAATGTTTTAAAATTAGTGCATAATTAGTTAATGAATATTTCACTCTTCGTGTATTAGGTCCTGAGGTGCTGTGTACCCAATTTTTTTTTTATAAATGGACTATTTAATAGTAGGTGGATTATGTTCGTCAATAACAGTAGTTATCCATTGTCTTTGCATTGCCAGGGCTGGGATGATCCTTATGTTACTCGAACGCATGAGGGCCTCTTGAAGTGGAAATACCCAGAAATGAATTCAGTGGATTTTCTCTTTGAGGTTGCCACCACTATTGGGATTTTTATCTTCCCTCTCTTTGCTATGCAAAATAGTTGGTTGCCACTTTCTCTGTTTGTGTTGTATCCTACTCACTATAAACAATTTTTTATGCGCTATTGTTTATTTTATTATGCTAACAGGTGGTTGACAACCGCCAATTACTTTATCTGTTCGAGCGAGGAAAGAAGAAATTGATGCACAATAGGGTTGTTTTTCCTGGTTAGTAGTTCATTTGTTATTTTCTAATGCTCTTATAGCTGTGCACCTTATTTGGTGTAGAAAGTCCTACTTCCTTCAGCTGATTAGTTAAGATACACCCCGTTATGTGGAATGTAAATTATTGCACCATATACTATTGCTTCTATATAGACTTCAAGATGATCTGGTTAAATTTTGAACAGTAGAATAAATACAGGTTATCGACGTCTTTGATTAGATCCTACTATTTTGGTGCTGCAATTGATATCTAGATTTCTAATTATTGATTTGTAGGGAATCCTTGTTGTACTTTTCTCTGAAGTGACAGTTGTGCCTCAAATTTATTTGTTGGGATGGAATTTGTATGTTGTCATAGTATTAGACAATTTTTTTTAAATTTAATTGTTACAGATGTCCCTTTGTACTGTTTCACTGTCATTTCTGATAAATTTTCCACTTCTATAGACCTTTAATTTTGTGGCTCGCATTCTTGTTTATATCGCCTCACTTCTTTCTTATCCTGCTTTTTTTTTTTTCTTTTTCTCGGTACTCTTGATAATTTTCATCCCATTATTTTAACAGATGGCTCTGATACCTCAACATATTCGGGTAAGATAATTGAGTGTTCTTGGGATAAAGAGCAAGATGCATGGGTGTGTATGAGGATCAGGCCGGATAAAGGAAACCCAAATGAATTTAACACCTACAGGAAGGTAAACATTATACGTCATATCTCACTTATACTTTGTTTCCTAGTTACTTGAAAATGCTGTTGAATAAAATGTTCTGGTGCCAAATCTGGAAAACAGGTGATGAAAAGTATAAAGGACAATATCACAGAGGATGTATTGTTGAACGATATCAATGAAATCATCCGCCTGCCAATGTATGCAGATAGAATACAGCACGAGAGCAAAGCCCACAACCATAACTCGTCACGTCGTAGGTGATGAATTATTTAATACGCAGTGGACGCAATGGTGGTCTTGCAAATGTCAGGCTTTGGTTCTTTTTTCATGGATAGTCGTTCTCTAGATTGTAGGGATAGTTACTGGATGGACTTTGTATATTATTATTATTGTTTCTTAGCTGCAGTTTTTCTTTTTCCATCTTAAATAGTCGTCGGTTAAATTTCTCCAAAGATGTAGATTTTAGTTTAAATTTTAGCTGTTATTGTGGAATATGAACTTAAGGCATCTGATATCAGCTTTTTCGCTGTGAGGGTGACGGAGTTCTTGTCAATGTTTCTGTGTTGAAGACAAGTATTTGTGTTAAATTTCATGATCTGTGTATGACTGACTAGTTTATTATGGATAACTTACTAAGAAATGTGTTGATGATCCATTTTCCTGTGTTTTCACACGTAATATTTGTATACGGGCCAAAGGTAAAACAGAAAAGTTTGAGATGCATGATTCGATGCACTCAGTCGTTTCTTTATGGAATGTTCTTCTGTATAAGCTGACCCTTTTTCCTTTCGTGATCTCATTCATAATTGAGTCCAGATGATATGTTCCTAATTGAATTTGATAAACTCATTCAACACATTATTTAGAAAATCGGTTTTTGCATTTCTTCGGTTATCGGCTACATTCTCTTTTCTACCACGACAAATGGCTTTTTTGTTTTTCAAAAGATTCGGATACAAGAACGGTGGGACAAGCTTCAAGTTATTGTCTGAAAATGAATTCTTCCTCAATCTTCCTCAATGTTGAGGCCATCTTTTTCTCGCATCTTGCACATTGGGTAAAAGATGGTTTTTTATATTCTTCAAGGTGTTGGTGCAAAACTAGTAGATACATAGTAAATGATTAAAAGTAGCTAACCACTCTTGAAATTACTTATCTTTGAAGATAATGATATCCTTTCTTCTTTTTTTTTCCCGCAATCGAATGTTATGTAAAATCTACGCATTCTAAAAGACTCTTTCTCCAGTAGCATAGAGATTCCAAAAGATAGTTGTTGCAAAATACAAACATGCAGTGAGAGTTAAGAATGCTTGGAAAGATCCTAGCCACTGTACAAAGAACCCTGCTCCGATTGTACTGATTATTGCTGCCAATGTTCCAGCTGAATTTGAAATTCCTATAACAAAACAAAACAAAAATTCACTTTTAAAGTAATTGCACGATAAACTGAAGAGCAAGACTAATTAAGGCAATGATGTTTGATCAGACAAATGAGGGATCTTATACCATGAAGAAATCCTGCATATTGTGGTGCAATTTCCTGATCAAACAATCAAAAAAAAAATGATTAATTTGATCCGCTACAAGGTTGTTGGTAATAAGCACTATTAACTAATTATTGATTAAGACAATAACCAAATCCAAATGTGTTAATTGAACTATAACGAGACAACAACTTACATGCATATTTAACAAAAATCCAGCTTGACTGAAAGAGCTCAAACTGAGGGCCATAGTCATAAATATGGCTGCAACCGTAGGCGTCGTGACATAGTTCAAGCAGAGTAATGCAACCCCAGGACCCATAAAACCAATTGACTGCAATATAAGCATTTAACCGATAAGTATAACATCAATAGCACAACTAAAATTTTAGTAGATTAAACCAATTTTTTTTTTTTTTTTTTTTTTTTTTTTAATTTAGAATAATATTTACCTGCATCATTTTCCTGACTGATGTTATTGAATAATCTGATTTGATTAAATAATCCGAGGTTGCCCCAGCAACATAGCCAGATATAGCCATCGTTCCCCATGGAACTGCACTAAACCAAGCTGCTTGTTTCAAGTTTACACCGAAAACCTAATTTAGCCCCAATAAATAAGTAATATTAGCAACATCATTAGTACTCTGCCATCATTAAGACAATATATTTGAGGTTTTTCGAGTAACGTAACCTCGAGATCATTTTTATCTGAATAATTTCTATGAAAATAGTGAAAAATGAAATCTTTATTTTCTCTTTCTTTTGTTAGTCTCGTCATAGCTAACATGAAAAGGTCCAAATAGAAACTGAAGCAGAACAGAGAAATGTATAAATGCAATGCTACTCACAGTTTTAAAATAAACCGGCATCCATGATAGAAGAACGAAGTACCCCTGGCATTGAAGAGCATATACATCATATTTTCTTAAATTTAATATCAGCAAAGTGAAACCGAGAAAAAAAAGAAAAGAAAACTAACCCAATTATTAGTGACATTAGCCAAGACTATAGCCCATGTCGGCAATTTAGAGAAAAGTAGGGCTAAGGAGGGAAGCTTGCCCTTAATCGCATGAGAATCGGATTTCCCAGCTTGAATTAACCTCAACTCTGCTTTACTGATTGAAGTGCTGTCTTGTGGGTCGTTTTCGACTCTAAAAATCCACGTCAATAACCAGACATATCCAAGAAAAGAAAATAGCACAAAAGGGCCAGAAATTCCGATAGTCGACATTGCGAGTGGACTTACAACCAATCCCACAACATTTCCAAGCTGAAAACCTCCCATAGACATTCCAACAGCTGTCGCTCTCTCGTTGGACGGAAACCATCTAACGAGAACAACATTATATATTAGTATACACAATGCACATTTGATTATTAATCTGAAAAAATGGTTTTTTTTATTTTTAGTTTTTATTATTACCTAGAAATAAGGTTATTCATGGAGGGTAGAGCAACACCCTCGGCCAGGCCGAAGAAAACACGAACGGCGAAAAGGCTGACAGTAGAGTGACTTGCAGCCAATGGAGTGAGGAGAGTAGCTAAAGACCATAAAGCAGCACCCCATCCGATAACTCTTTTTCCACCGTATTTATCGACTAATGCTCCACCGATTACCGACGAAAACATATATCCCCATAGAAAAGATGACTATGCATCAAACATGTACAATCATATTATCAGCATTCATTTTCTTTGACAACAACCCAAATACCCAATACACAAAATGAAGCCTTTACCATCATAAACACAATCAATTTATCATAAATAAATGCAATCAATTTAATTTTCCAAATGTGACGAAAAAATCAAATTGCTTTCCACATATATTCAACAAAAAAAAATTGAAAATTGAAAAAAAAAAAATTGGGTACCTGGACAATCCCTAAAAAATAGCTGTCCCAGCCATGTTCGGCGGCAAGAGGAACAATGGCGACCGACATCACAACTCTATCTGCATTACATAAACACATGACACCGGCCACCAGCGCCACCACTTTGAACCTCTCCGCCGTCATGACTCCGCCCCTCCGCAAAAAAGGCCCTCTCTCTAAACCCTCAGCCGTGCGCACAACAACAGTTCAGCCACTCCTCTTCTTCTCATTCTACACAATAAACCAACACTCTCTTCTTCTTCTTGCTGAGTTCTGCTCACGCGTCAATGAAAAAGGCGGCCATTTTTCTTCAAGAAATTGCGGAATCCAATTACCTAAGGAATTGAGATTTTCGGAAACTGATCGGACAGAGATGGAAAGTGGGGTGGTGTGAATCGTATAAAATAAAATATTGGTATGAATTTAGCTGTGATTTCGTTGGCGTAACGCATGCCATCAGACAGAAGACTTGTTAATCATCATATGGCAACAAAATAATATATAGAGAGAGAGATTTGGAAAATTATACACGACATATATATAATATAATGTGATTGCCTGATCGTGGAAATTGGTATACTTGAATTCTTGGTGAGGATTAAGTGAAATTAAATTTTGATTTTCCTAATTTTGAAAACAATTTATTAGTAAAAAGCGGTGATTTCAAATCATAATATATGTATTACAAATTTAATTATAATAAATAAAACACCATGTGTAATCTCAAGACATGGCTTTATGCAACACTGATGAGCCATTTGTTCAATGTGAATTTTGATATATTGGGTTGACATGGAAATTGTCGACAAAATCTATATATCCAATTATTATAATATTAAATTCAGATTAATTAAGCTGAAAAATTGGAAATGAATGTCTTACATTAGTGCAACCCATTACCCAAGTAATTGATACAAGTGCCAACGCCATCTCCTCTAAATCAAAGAACTTTTGTCAGCCACGTTTTTTAGATGCTACATCCGATCCGATAATCGAATGATATACATTTGATGACTTGAATCGTAAATCTACACATAATAACACACATACCCATATGTATATGATCTTAGTGGATATTCACTTATATAGATCTTCAGATTAAGATTGTCCGGTATTTTACATCGAATGTAACATCTCTTAGACAGTCAACCACATAAAATATTGTTAGCACGATTAATTGGTTCGTTTATGGGAGTAGGGATAATAATATGAAATAATAGGGAAAGACAATTCGAGTTGAACATAATTATCAATAAGTTACCTAATTATAAATTACGTAATTATTAACAAATATTTGATTGATTTCTGTTAACGGGCCTACTAAATGGCCGGGCTTGCTTCGGATTAGAAGCATTTCAGGCTGACAGCAATTTCAAATTAATTAATAAGAAAATTCTGGTGAAATTATCCTTTTTGGGGTAGCAATAGAATTATTAGCTAGGTTATAAAGCCCATTGGAATTATTAGCTTTTATGGGCCATCTTTATCACATATGTTGGCCCTGAATTCAATTTTATTTGGAGCTCGTTGGTTATGGAGCTTTACATAAAACCTTGTAAGGATCTAAAATCAGTAATCATAATGATAATCTTAGGATTTGAATATAGGATCAATCATTATATATTATATTATAAATATATATATAGGATATGGATATAGTAACATGCATGCCAAACTCTGTATTCTTCTTCTTGGGATTCCTTCACTCAATCTCTGTAGAATCATGCATGTTATGGAGATTATAAACACCATTATTATATTAATTAATTAAGGTTTGTGCAATGCTTTACTTTTGCTCTATTATTTTAAGATTTTTAGGTCTTCTAGCTACGAAAGCTGATACTTAACCTGAAACTAAAGTATCATTAATTAATTAATTAATTATATACTCCTATATACACTTTATTTAATTTGGATCATGAGTTTAATGAGTAATCTTCGCATGTGTGGAAATTAGGATTTGAACCTGTGTTGCAGACCTAGCTTAAGCTATATATATATGGAATAACCTGCACGCACGCAGAAGATGATTAATTTAATTTAACAAGATATATATAAAGATAATATCTACCTTCTCTTTTAGATTATTAATTCATTGCAATAATTATAACATATATATAATATAATGTAATACATTTTTAGGTCCAAAATGAGGGCTTCTTCTTTTTTGAGGTAGTGGATTTATGATTCAACACAATGTTCTTTATTAGACAAAATGCATTTTTGTGGGACCGATTAAATAAAGGGTTCAATATTTTTTTTTTTTTTTCTCTCCTTATAATTAAATCACCATTTTACACATGTAGTTAATAATTGCATGTTCATGAACTCTTCATTTTTCATAAATACTAAAAAAAAATTATAATTATGATCCCAAAGCAATGAAAAATAATATAATGGCTCCCTAACTCTTCATTGTGTTTGTGATTATGAACAATTATAATAGATAAGAGTAAGACAACATTATTTGAGGAATAATGGCTCCCGCAATATTAGTGGAATCTATGGCGCACGCCTGCTTGCACTTGATTTCCTTATTATTAATTCCCTTCTTATTCATTTCTATAATTTGTATGAATATATTAGCTCAATTTTTGTCCTTCCAACATTAGTCTATACATATAGTATACTAATCTCTATCAATTGTTGGAATTTTTTTAGGCCCAATGGATTAAGTTATACTCAGTCCATATAATCGTCTTCATCTGAAACGGACCAACAACGAAGTCTAACAATACTTAAAAGTCCACTACTTCGGTCAGACCTTTGGAAGACTCTTGCCTTCGATGTTGATCATTGATTCTCACTGTTTGATTAGTGATACTCTCGTTGACGATGACGATGGTTGTACCTAAACGACCTTCTGCTTATGAAAGTATTATACTTTACACACAACGTTCGACTTAAAATAAAGGATCCAACAAATTTATTTTTCAATGTGTATTATGTATGTGGCACTTTTTCTATTATTAAGAATTCAAGATGGAGGTCAAAATGGGAATAGATAGGGCGAAGGTGGGACCTACACCCCCACAAAGAAGAGAATTTTTGTCTCAAATCTTTATCCATGGAATTATTATAAACTACATAAAACAAACGAGAACATGAAAAGACAAGCCTTAAGGTAGCAAGACAAATATTAAATACTTTATTTATTCTTTTATTTTATTTTTTTCTTGGTTAATTATAAATAAAAAAATAAAATTAAAAAGTAAAAGGCTAAGGACAGGGGCTCACTTTACGTCTAATTCCATGCACATCAAAAAAATACATCATACACCATCCCACATGGGTATGTTTTATATATGTTGCACCTTTTTATTTATTTATTTATGTAATTTATAAATAAAATATTAATTTTCGGTTACATGAATGTGAATAAATGAGAGTTAATGGGCTCTCGTGATTTGCAACCGAAAGAAGGTGGGCCCTGCGGCGGAATTCCGAACCGGCCGGCTTCTGTTACTCGTGACTTATAAGCGGCGGGTCACGGCCCACTATTTACTTCTTATTCCGAATTATCCCTGAAAATAAATTAATAATTAATAACATAATAGAAATACTGTATTTAAATTAAAAAAATAAGGAATAAAATTTGTTGAAGGGTTTTATATTCCAAAATGCAACATAGCGGTGACAATAAATATGAAATTAATTATCAGCATCGACATAAAAATAAATAGTTTAAAATAATTAAAACACAGAAGAGTCAGAAATTGACAGCCAGAAGATCAGCAGATAATAATTAAATACGTGTGCTTCAACATAATATATATTCATACCCAGATACTCAGCATGCATGAGTATATTATATATATATATAGTCTATACATACATTAACACACATAGACACACACTGACAAGTGACATGCATACACTGTAAAGTTGGTATCTATGTATATATACTTGTGTATGTACATATTATATATACACGAGGGGCACTCATGCAGCAATTAGTAATTTCCAGTGTGTGTGTGTGTGTGTGTAGAGTACGGACCACCTAAATTAATTAACTTCTCCCACATTTAATTTCTTTTTAATTTCCTGATAATTAATAATTGGATTGTTCCTAGGCATATAGAGTCTGCGCCTCAGTCAGTGCAGTAAATATATGATAAATTTTGTGGTGTTAATTTTTAAAATATTTAATTGGAATCTTTATATCAGTATTAAACAATAATAGAACATGCATATGTGATCTGAATTAATGAAACATATAGAATTAGAGAAGATATATTTTACTAATGGATTAATTTCTGATAATCTTTCCCATTCCATAATATTTCAGATAAAAATTCAATCGCTTTATTTTCTATACAAACTCGTGAAGATCCGGTTTTTTTTTTTTTCCCTTATGAATGAAAAATCCAACTATTTCATCAAATAAAAATAAATAAAAAGATAAACTTAATGGAGAAAGAAAAAGAAGAGAAAAAAGTGATGAATGTTGAGAATGGCATGGTAATTTCATTTTCAGGGCGACTCCCCAGGAAACTCACTTTGGACTCATTCCAATTTGCTCACACATATACTATTCACATATATTTTGAAAAAAAATATTTAATACATACTATATTTTTATTATCTGAAATTGTAATATATATACTAGCTAGAGAAAAAATGTATAATTCCACCAGAGAAAAATATAAAGATTCTTACGTATATGGCTGGTTCAAACTTCAAATATTAAAAGTGGAAATGAAAAGGCATAATTAATTTCTCAACTTGATGCCTTTTCAATAATTTCTTCTCCAACCCAACTTTTTACATCGGAATTTATTAATTAATATACTTTTTTAATTAATAATTTATAAAAGCATGCAATTATTTCCAACTCAAAAGTGCTTGGTTTTTACCTTTCCTAGTGCTGGTTTAGTGATGAACCTTCTCAATATAAGAGTGATTTATCATCATTTATAAGTTCATTTACTTATTAAGATAAGCTGCAATTATATTATAATTTTATTATTTTTGAAATATTCCGATGGATGAATAAAATGCAGGGAGGTATAAAAAAACCAGATATCATGTATACAAATTAGTAATAATGGTGGAATAAGGGAAGCTGAAAATAGCAATTTAGTTCCGAAATTGAGTGTGACATAGTTATGTTCCCCCTTGTTGGAACAGTGTTTGGCTGCGGTTATAATAAACCACAAATGGGAATTGGGGAAAAGTAAAATTGGATGGATGGACTGAAATATGTATTTTAGCGGAAAATGCAAAAGCCACGGAATTAATAAAGAAAGCCCAAAAAACAAAAAGAAGCCCCAAAATGAGAAAAAGGAAAAGTAGAGGGACGTGGTAGCAAAAGATAAAGCAGAGAAAGGGATTTGAGAATGCAACACATTCAGATTTCACAGAGTGAGAGAGAGAGAGAGAGAGAGAGAGAGAGAGATTATGGCGTGGTAGCTTTTGCTTTTTCTCTCCGACAGGAATCTTTTTTATTTCCAAAGGATAATTAAATTGAATAAAAATAATTAAAATAAATATATATATATCTAGAACAATTCTCCCCTGTTTCATAAATCAAAATACAGTACGAAATGTACAATGTAGAGGAATATACTAATTCAAAATTATAGTAATAGTTTTGTTGTTTATTTGGGAAATAAAAGATTAAAGGTAATTAATTAGGCGTTAATGTGGATATTAATCATAATCATAATCGACAGATATTGGAATTTCAACTGTAAAGGGTAAAACGGTACTTTCGAGACATAAAAGCATCCAACGGAAAAGTCGAAAGAGAATTTAAAGAGAGAAGTAAAACCATTTTCTCTCTCCTTTTCCTTTCTTCAATCCCTCTCTCTCTCTCTCTCTCTTTCTCTCTCATCAGTTTTCCTCTATTCCACCACCACCACCACCACGCCCGTTGAGAACCCAAACCAAATACTACTCTTTTTCTTTCTCTCTCTCTCACACAGATACACACTTCACCGGAGGGAAGATACTCGCCGCCACATTGGTGGTAGCTAGCTCTTACTAACATGAGCAGGGGGTGTGGTGCGCGTACTTACTTCTAACGGTTATGAATCCCACTTCTCTAGACCCAACAGCGCCGCCCCCGCAGCCGCCGCAGCCACCGCGATCCTCCTTCAGCTGCGACCGCCACCCCGACGAGCACTTCACCGGCTTCTGCCCCTCTTGCCTCTGCGAACGTCTCACCACACTAGACCACTCCTCCTCCAACACCCCTTCCTCCTCCCGCCGCCCCTCTTCCGCCTCCGCCGCCGCCGCCGCAGCAATCAAATCCCTCTTCTCCTCCAACCCAAAACCCAACAACTTACCCCCTCCTCCACCACCACTCCCCAAACCCTCCAAACCCACTACGTTCTTCCCCGAGCTACGTCGTACCAAGTCCTTCTCTGCTTCCAAGAACGAGGCTTTAGGCTTATTTTTTGAGCCACAGAGAAAATCTTGCGATGTTAGAGGGAGAAATACTCTTTGGTCTCTCTTCACACTCGACGACGAGTATAAGAGTGGTACTATTAACAACAGTAAACCCTCAATTGCCGCTTCAGCTTCTTCTTCTTCTTCTCATCAAAACCATTGCAAAAAAATTGAATCTTTTGCAGCCAACAAGCCCGTTATCGAAGAAACCGAAAACGAAGAGGATTTCAAATACCCTGAAATTATAGAGGATGCTGCTGCTGCTGTGTACGAGGATGATGACAACGACATAGATGGAGATGAAATAAGGTCTGTCCGAGATTCTCAATTAGATAGTTTGAGAAATGTGGTCGAAATCGAGGTAAATAACGGTGAGATAGTGGAAGAAGAGGTTGTGAATGTTAGTAGTTTGAAGCATATCAAGGACCATATAGATGTTGATACTCAAGAGAAGAAGAGTTCAGGAGGTGGTGGGTTTTGGGCTGCTGCTTCAGTTTTCAGCAAGAAATGGCAAAAATGGAGGCAGAAGCAGAAGATCAAGAAACAGAGTAATGGCGACAGCTTCGCCGCATTACCCGTGGAGAAGCCGATTTCTAGGCAGTACAGGGAGACTCAGTCCGAGATCGCTGACTATGGTTTTGGTAGAAGGTCTTGCGACACAGATCCTAGGTTTTCACTCGATGCTGGGAGGATCAGCTTTGACGATCCAAGATACTCGTTCGAAGAGCCTCGTGCCTCTTGGGATGGTTATTTGATAGGAAGGAGTTTTCCAAGAATGGCTCCTATGGTTTCGGTGATGGAGGATGCGCCAGCTGTCCCTGTTTCTCGTTCCGATATGCAGATTCCGGTGGAGGAAGAACCGGCACTGAACTGTGGTGTAGATGATGGTGAGTGTTTGCCCGGTGGTTCGATCCAGACTAAGGAGTACTACACGGATTCTTCTTCTTCGAGGAGAAGGAAGAGTCTTGATAGGTCGAGTTCGATAAGAAAGACAGCAGCTGCAGTTGTGGCTGAGATTGACGAACTGAAAATGGCGTCCAACGCCAAGGTTTCTCCGACAACCGCGGATTACTTTCACGGGGCGAAAGTGGTGATGGGGGATAGAGAATTGAGGGATTATTCGAATTCACACTCGTTGAGAGATGATTGTTCGGAGACATTCGAGTTGGGTAGTGGGTATAGGGATAGTAGCAATTCTTTGATTGGAAATAGTAATGGAGATAGAAAGGAGACGAAAAAGTCTAGGAGGTGGAGTTGGAGAATATGGGGGTTTATACAGCGGCGGAGTGGTGGTGGTAATAAAGACGAGGAGGAGGACAAATACAGTAGAGTAAACGGGGTGGAGAGGTCTTTGTCCGAATCTTGGCAGAATGAAGATTTGAGGAATCGGTTGAATAGGAATATGTCGAGGAGCAATAGTAGTGTGAGTTGGAGAAACGGCATTAATCAAATCGGCGGGAGTATGAGGAAACCGAACGTGGAAATGAATGGGAAAAATAGGAGGGATGATTTTGTGTTGGAGAAGAATCGGAGTGCGAGGTATTCGCCTAACCATGTTGATAATGGGCTTTTACGATTCTACTTGGCTCCGTTGAGGGGTAGTCGGAGAGGGGGGCAAAACGGTAAAATCAAGCACAATAATAATAATAGCAACTCACACTCAATTGCAAGAAGTGTTCTGAGACTGTACTGAGATTCAAGATATATATATATCCACTAGTTGTTGTTCTCTTTGATTAATGTAAAACTTTGCTGCATTGTTCGTGTTATTCGTATTTTTAAATAATGAGAAAAAAATCTTCTTATGTTTTCTTTTCATCGTATTTTCGTGTTTTATCGGACGGACGGTCTTGAACCGATCCGAGTAAATCTAGACCATCGAAAAGATATAAATCCGAAAGGTTGCAACTGAATTTTGTTTTGAGTAGAGATGCATGAGATGTTTAAAGTTGTTGTGAAGCAGAATGTGTGTAGTCAACATCACAAGACAACAAACAGGATTTATCAGATTTTTCATTGTTTGTATTATTATGGCCGATCGACTATTCAATCACATTTTCCATTTCTACTTTAATACATCTAAAATAAATTGGACAGTGATACCTTTGTTTACACTAAAATGGAAAAAAAATATTAATCTTTTATTAATTGTTAATTAGTATATATTAATCAACTGATATTCATCACTTGTTCCCATGTTTTCTCTACATTTGTAACATTATATAATATAAAGACAAAAATCAATAAAAGAGTTTAAGCAATTTGATCTTATTCCACAGTTTTCAAGAGTAACTAATATACTAATCTCATGTTTCCAAGAAGAAAAAAAAATCTGCATTATTTACAAGAAAAAAAAAAACTATAACTACAAAATGCAATAACAGAAAGAAAAGCTAAAAACACGGTCGATTACGATTAGCTCGGAGTCGTCACGTAGCGACACTCACAACTTTCTTGTAAGTATACCATTTGGAGATCATCAAATAGACAAAGAAGTTGATCAAACTAAGAACTGCCAGCAGCCAATAGAAATAGTCCAGGTGTCCCTCGTTCAAATTATCCGGAATCCACCCCAACTTCCCGTTCCTCGTGGTCACTTTCGTCACAACAATCACAAGCAAAGTACTCAAATAGTTCCCCAAAGCATTAGTCGTAAGCGAAAGTGCAGAGCACAAGCTTCTCATAGCATCAGGGGCTTGATCGTAAAAAAACTCCATCTGCCCAATAAACGTAAAAACCTCCGCGCACCCCACCAAAAAATACTGCGGCACTTGCCAAAATATCGTCATGGGAATAACTTCGAGATCGTAATAGTTATTCCTCCTCACATAATTCAGCCTAGCAACCTCCAAAATTCCAGCGGAAATCATGGCAAAAATTGAAATAACTAGCCCGATTCCCATTCTTTGAAGCTGCGTAAACCCCCTCTCGTTTTTCGTGTACTTTTTTGCGACCCGGACGATGACTTGGTCGTAAACCAGCGCCCAGAATATGACACTTAGAGTATCGAATAACGATAAAGATGCAGCGGGAATTTTGAAATTAGGGCCCATGTGCTGGTCCAATGTGTCGCCTTGTAATATAAACATCGTGTTCATTTGACTGTACACCGCGGAAAAAACTATACCCGTTGCCCAAATAGGGAGTACTCTTATTATCGATTTGAATTCTTCGACTTGTGTCACTGTGCATAGCTTCCATGGATTCACTGCCCCTTTGTGACTATCATCTTCGGTTTCTACGGCAGCTTTGTCAAGAAACCTATAACAATTCAATTTGTTAAGGCATTGTTTGGCTAGTTCTTGATAAGTGCGGAAAAAAAAAAGTACCTGAATTTTTCAGTGTGCACGAGTTTACGGCTGCCTTGGATGAAAGATCCCACATCTGAAGTTTCGTAGAGAAGAGTTTTATCGGACGGAATTTCGACGCGGTATTTTCTAACAGAAGCAACCAAAACCTGAGCGATTCGTGTCAGTGGACTTCCGCCTGGTTTTTGGAGCCGATACAGAGAGCTTCCGAAGAAGAAGAAGCCAACTGCAATGGCCATGGCAACAGCTGGAACACCGAAACCCCAACCCCAGCCAACATTCATTTGTATCCAAACGAGTACCGAAGAAGCTATAAGAGCACCGACATTTATCGAGAGGTAAAACCAGTTGAAGAACGAGCTCTTCTTTTTCTTCTCCTTTTCATCGTTGTCGTCGAATTGATCTGCGCCGAATGAGGAGACGCACGGTTTGATGCCACCTGTCCCAAATGCAATCAAGTATATTGCTGCAAAGAATATTCCCTTTTGAGATGCTGTTGGATGACAGTGGCCGTTACTGCAATCCGGCTTTAGACCGTGGACCGAAGCGGATAAAGTCAAGAGTGTCATCCCCTGCAATTTACAAGAAGATATCTCCGACATGGATTAATTACGTATTCGTCCTTTTACGTTTTCAGACATGCGTAAATTTGAAAGAAGTACTTACGAGAACATAGATGGTACAGAAAGAGGCGATGGTCAAATATCTCCCTAAGAAGGAATCGGCAATAAAAGCACCGATAAGTGGTGTGACGTAGCAAGTTCCGGACCAATTTGTGACAATGGTTGAAGCAGAAGCGTTCGCTTCGTTTAGACGTATTTTCAGATAGTTTACCAAATTGGTGCTCATGCCATAGTACGCCAATCTCTCACAGCACTCGGTTACTATCGAAAAAAAATGTTCTTTTTACCATTAATAACACAGATCAAAAGGAATTCAATTTGCAGTTAAATATGGAATCGGAATTCGGAAAACTTACCAAGAATGAAACGGCATGCCTTCCAGTTTCCGGTTTTCGTCTTATTAGCAGGTTTTTTGTGGATGTTTACAGTTCCATCTCTAGTGTAGATATCTTCTTCCATTGCAGCCATTTTTGGTTCTTAGTGTTTTTGTCTACAAGGCACACCTGTAATGCTGGAATAGGTATACCGTAAGTACTAAATCGAATTCAACGGCCAAGTAATTGAAACGCAAAAATATACCGAATATTACTTAGTAAACCAACAAATTAAGAATGCATGTAGAATTTTGGCATACAAATTCTTCTTCATCTAAGAGGCACATAAGGAACATTCCAAACATCAGTGCACAAGATAATTAAAGATTAGTGGACTTTATTATATAAATTAAATCGCATTAGTTCTGGTATGTGTACTACAATATAGCTCTAATACAGAAAATGTACTTTCTTGAAACAATCAAGATCCATAATAAGAAAATCAATGGTTCTCGTAGCCGTAGGTGATCACTGGGTAAGTAAAGAAAAGCAAAATCCATACAGAAAATTACAATGTTTTCTCAAACAATAAACAGCAAATTTGTAAATTGTACTGATTTAAACAAAATAATTAAAAATATCAAATCACGACAAGGAACCCATTAAAGAATAAGAACAAAAAACACGTCACTCCACAATATAACATGCAGATCCCGACGAAAATCCCATAAAAATTAAGTTTTTAAAACAATACCATGTAGAATAAGGGACAGTCGATAATCAAATCGATGTTCAAGATTTTAAAATATAAGAGGAAATTAGAGAGAGAAAGAAAACAAACCCGGCCAGAGGAAAATAAAATATGGGGTGGCCTGGAGAAATTGGTTGCATGCAAATTAAAGAAAATCAGGAGACTGGAGAAAAGGATTCCTCTAATTATAGCGCAAGACCAAGTCCTCGTCACAGAGAGAGAGAGAGAGAGAGAGAGAGAGAGAGAGAGAGAGAGAGTTATCAAAGAATTTAGATCTCAACAAACTATACATACAAACATGAATGAATGAATGAATGTGCTTTCAAGAACGAACAATTTGCACTAGCTGGGACACTACTTAACTATACGGCACCACTGCTTCGTTGATTTATTTTTTAATTTTTTTTGGGGAAATAACAATAACTTGAGATATGTTCGGTTGATATTAACTCATAAGTAGGGTTAGTTATTTTTTTAAACAAAAAATGTAGCATTTTAAGGCGTATTAATCTAGCTAGTCGATTCGTTTTTCAGATTTGATGCTCCCTTCTTCGGGAAAGAACTATTCAAATGTATTCATCATTAACTAAAAGACAAAAGCTCCTTGGATTCATGATTCAGACTTATATATTGGGCCGAGTGCCCATATTTAAGCCCTTTCACTAGTAATTCAGTTTCATAAATTTATCGTCTCATTTATTTATTCATTATATATATATATTTTTTTATTGTTTTACTAGATAACTAGTAATTGTATCCGTGCGATGCACGGGACAACAAATTGCATTATTTTAACTCTTAATTTTATTTTTTGCCTAATTTTCACCTGCCTGGAAATATTTGGAATGCCCCTCATTAACGATTTTGTATTTTCTTTTTCTTCTCCATTTTATCTATACATGTAACCGAACAATTTAAAAAAAGTCAAGCTCAACCTCTGTTCTCCTTTCACGCCACCATAGTCATGTTCATCTCTATTATATTGCTACAATTTTAGATCCCTGCTTCGTATATGAAAAAATGGACGTATTTAGAGATAGTCAACAACCCTTGTGGTTGAAGTGGTAGGACGTTGTTGCCAGAATCATCAGCTCTTTCTAATTGTCAATCAAGAATAACGAGGCTTTGAAGGCGTTTCTTAATACTGTAGTAAAAAAGTGTGGAGTTATATATTCAAATTCATTGATTACTCGGTACCTAGCCCCGAGGGAAAGACCATATGTATCGATGAAAATGTGATCCAAATTCATTTTGTTTAAGTTCCTAAGAAGTTCCAATGGAACTAGACAGTGCGTTGCACCTTATTTCAACAATAAACTCAATCGGTTGCAACAATATTCGTGAAAATGGAGCATATGCAAGAAGCTGTTTTTTTCTGGAATGTCACGGTTAAAACTGTAAACTAAACACTTATCTTAATTAAAGTAAGAAGATGAGATAGATTTGATACAACTCATCATCAAGATAACGACTAATTCCAAAATTAGTTGACTATAATGATTATATATTTAATTTAAGATGAGTAGTTTGTTATCGAAAAGGGCCACAGTTTGGCTAAATAGTGCTATTAGAATAATCTTAGCTTTCAAACAATTATATTTCTTGGTGACTATTAGCTAGCTAATGATCTGATATGTACGTGAAAGCCCTCCTCCAACTACGATTTCCTCCAAGTCAAAAACGTTAATAGTAACTCTTGCGTTTTGCTAAACAAAAATAAACAGTTGTTTTCTAGAATCAAGACTAAATAATTCTATCCATAAACCACGCTTTTCTTGAAAATCACTTACCAAAAATTGAGAGCAAATTAAAATGAAGTGCGCTTTTAATTTACACAAATTAATTAATTTTGCATAATTAAGTAAGTGTGATCTCCTAAAATGACAATATATATGATTTATATAAATAAACAAAAAAAAAAAAAAAAAAAAAAAAACAGAAGAAGATATATATAAAAGAGAATAGTTTATGTAACAAGAAAGAAAAGAAAATGAAAGGGTTAGTAGTTTTGGGTATAAGGAGGCTTATGTTTGAAGGATGTATAGTTTCACCTAACCGAAGAAAAACGACGTTATGGCAGCAATCAGCATGCACCAATATATTGATTGGCTCACCTATTTAAATCTTTCCTTGGCTCGTTAATATAATAATACCTCACTGCATGCAACTACACATTCAAAAAACTCTTATCCCCTAAGATCAAAAATTACAAAATATATCTCTCTCACACACACACACCGGAGAGAGATCAGAGAGAGAGAATGGGTTATTATTGGGTTCGGGTTTTGATCCTGGTGGTAGCGTGCTTGTCTCCAGTACTGTTGGTCGAATGCAAAGTTCGTCATTATAAATTTAATGTAAGATTTTATCGATTTTTACCATATTTCTCCATTTAATTTCAACTAACTAATCCGTCCGTTTGTTGTTTAGCTACGAGGTGTTTCCGATCTTTTCGCATTTATATAACATGCATGCATGACTGCATTCTTGGAAAATCTTTTTCGATTTCGAATTATATTATATGCAGGTTTTGATTAATTATTATGAGTTCTTCCAGCTCTAGAGATAGTTTACTCTTTGTGATTGTAAATTGATAATTAATTTCAATATACTCCACCAATTAGCTGAGGTTGTTGACCTAAAATAATAAAATGAAGCAAAATAAATGGTAATAAGTCAAAATTATAAGCAGATGGAAGGTACAACCATTTATCAATTTCAAGATCTCTTTTCCGCTTAAAAATCAGTATGCACGTTAAGATTTCTTCGTACTTGTACACATATCAGCCTAGCTAGACTTTCTGAAACTATATATTAATTAATAAATTAATCCTGAAAAATGTTATATTTTTGCAGGTGGTGATGAAAAACACAACCAAATTGTGCTCAAGCAAATCTATTGTTACTGTCAACGGTAAATTTCCAGGTCCAACTATTTACGCTAGAGAAGACGATACAGTCCTTGTTAAGGTCGTCAACCATGTCAACTACAATCTTTCCATCCACTGGTATTTACTAATTAACCCTTTACACACACGTACACGTACACGTGTTAGTATGTGTGTCTTCTATAAATGTATATTTTTATGGAGATGAATATACATACATACATATTACACAGGCATGGAATAAGGCAACTTCGAACAGGATGGGCAGATGGACCAGCATATATAACACAATGCCCTATTCAGCCAGGTCAAAATTACGTCTACAATTTCACCATCACAGGTCAAAGGGGCACACTCCTCTGGCACGCGCATATCCTGTGGCTTAGGTCCACTGTACACGGTGCCATCGTCATCTTGCCTAAGCTTGGTGTACCTTATCCTTTTCCCAAACCCAACCACGAAAGAGTTATCATCCTAGGTTTCTTTTTCATAAATTATATATAATTTTTCTTTGATTTTTTTTTTTAATTTTTATTCTAACTAATTAATAATTGATTTTTGTATCGCATTCAGCTGAGTGGTGGAAATCAGACACTGAAGCTGTGATAAACGAGGCTTTGACATCAGGCCTGGCGCCAAATGTCTCCGATGCCCACACAATCAACGGTCACCCTGGGCCTGTCACCAATTGTCCTTCCTCAACTGCAGGTTACTTTAAAAAAATCCAATTCTAAAAAATAATATAATAATATTTTTTAAACAAAAAAACATTTGATGTGATTGGCAGATGGATTCACGTTGAAAGTCAAAGCCGGAAAAACGTACCTCCTCCGTCTGATCAACGCTGCACTCAACGAAGAACTCTTCTTCAAAATCGCCGGCCACAATTTGACCGTCGTCGACGTGGACGCCACCTACGTAAAACCATTCAAAACCGGCACGATCGTGATCGCCCCGGGGCAAACAACCACCGCAATCCTGACCGCCGATCGGAACACCGGCAAGTACATCGTGGCGGCGTCTACTTTCATGGACACCCCAGGGGTGGCGGTGGACAACACCACAGCCACCGCCACGCTCCACTACTCCGGCACACTCTCCACTTCTCCGACGACCTTCACCGCCCCGCCGCCCCAGAACGCCACCCCAGTCGCCAACAATTTCGTCAACTCACTGAGAAGTTTGAATTCAAAAAATTACCCCGCCAAAGTTCCGCAAAAAGTGGATCGCTCACTTCTTTTCACAATCGGGCTCGGTATCAATCCGTGCGCCACGTGTAAGGCCGGAAACGGCAGCAGAGTGGTGGCGGATATAAACAACGTCACTTTCGTGATGCCTAAAATCGCTCTCCTGCAGGCACATGTTTTCAACATTAAGGGGGTTTTCACCACCGATTTTCCAGGAAACCCTCCGGTTTCATTTAATTACACCGGCGGTCCTCCACCGTCGAATTTTGGGACTAGAAATGGAACAAAGCTTTACAGAGTACCTTACAATACCACAATCCAGGTGGTTTTGCAGGATACAGGGATAATTGCCCCTGAAAATCATCCAATTCATCTTCATGGATTCAATTTCTTTGTAGTGGGCAGAGGATTAGGAAATTTCAATTCAAAAACAGATCCTAAGCAATTCAATCTCGTTGATCCTGTCGAGAGGAACACCATCGGAGTGCCATCTGGCGGATGGGTAGCCATTAGATTCCTAGCAGATAATCCAGGTACATATTTAGCTAATTTTCTTATTAATTAAGTAATTAATTAATTAATTATTGCAAATATATTGAAAATTTGATTTTTTATTTGCAGGAGTTTGGTTTATGCATTGCCATTTGGAAGTGCACACAACATGGGGGTTAAAAATGGCATTTTTGGTGGACAATGGGAAAAGCCCTAATGAGTCTGTTTTGCCCCCACCAAAAGATCTGCCTAAATGTTGATTGTGAATAAAATTCACAATTTATTCATCAGGAAATTAAATATCTCTATTGTTTCTGTTACAGTAGATGCAAAATTTTTGCTCAATTTGAAGTCAATAATTATACAATGTATTGTTTTTCAAGAATATTCAATTATATATAAAGTCTGACAATTTTAGCCACAAAGAATCCAATCCAAACTTATTTATACACGGAAAAAACATTTGAATCAATACAATATATTACATTGTAAAGAATAAAAACACCAAACAAACACACAAGATCACATTTCGATCGCGGCAGGGGTATTCTTGGAAAAGCGCTGAATCAACCACTGAAACGGTTTCAAGAACTCCTCTCTCTGCTTCCTCCAGAAGAGAATAGCATCCCTGTACTGCTCGTTCCTTATCTTTCTAGTAGCTGCCCTCCAATCATACTTCTCCATTTCGACACGTGCAGCTTTGCCAATGGTTTCCCTCAGTTCTCTTTCGTAAAGAAGGGGTTTCAATTTGCTCAAACAGTCATCGATATCTTCAGGGTTGAATAAATATCCCGTTTTACCCTGTTGTTCTTCGGGAATAATATCAGGGATTCCTCCTGCACGAGCAGCCACCACGGGGAGCCCTGATGACATGGCCTCCAAAACAACGAGCCCTAATGTCTCGGATTCTGATGGCATCACAAAAACATCGCCACTAGCGTATGCTTGTGAGAGCTCTTCTCCTTGTAGTGTCCCTGTGAAGACAGCTGGCATACCTGAGAATAACTTCTCCAGCTCCTCCCTATGTCAGAAATGATTGATTGGTTAATTAAATAATCAGGGTTTTTCTTTTTATGTTTGATTAGTCGAATTATAACTCCAACTGACCTGTACGGTCCATCTCCGATAAAAGCTATTCTAGCTTCTGGAAGGCGATCCATGACCCTGTTTCGATTATGTAAAGAATCTATAATTTGAGCAATTTCAAGAAATGATTGACTATGTAAAAGTTACGAGAATGGAAAAAATACCTTTTGAGGAAATCTAGACTCTTCTCGACTCCAATACGTCCTACGTGGACTATCAGTGGTCTGTCTGGTTCTCCATTGCTAATTAAGGAAGATAAAGATTATTTTTTAATGAAAAGGTTAAATGTCGTAATTGGAGGCGATTGACATAAAGAGTGATGGAAGGAGTTTCAAACCTCAATCTCAATCTCATTTCGTGGGAGCGGAAACGAGGATGGAAGCTCTCGGAATCGACACCCTTGGTCCAGAGGCGTATCCTGTTGGCTAATATTTTGAAAAGTAAAAATAAAAATTGAATCTTGTAAGAATGTTAGTACAACTTTTTACCTAGATTTAAGATGTTACAAATTTTACCTGTAGTGACGTTTTCTGCTTCTAGATCTTTTCCAATTGCAGCAGAAGGCACTAATGTAAGATCAGCAGCTCTGTGCAGAAATTCTGGCATGAAAAAAAGAATTTATTTAATACTTTTTATAATCCCAAACCCGAAAAGAAGCAGAATTAGGAAAGGAATGTCACATACTTATAATTAGCCACATTGGTTTGACGAGCCAACTGAACGTGTATCTGGGGATATATCTGTAAGAGCACAAACTGATAATCAGCACAAAATCACAGTTTCATGTATTTAAAAAAACAAAATATGCTTTTGCTAGCTGTATTACGACATTGAAATATTGACATTAAACACGACGAAGAAAAAATCTGAACGTACACAGGAACATGAGTATGATATGACATTACAATTGGCACAGAGAGTAATTTCGCAATGGCAAGAGCACCAAATACCTGCACAGCATTTAGAAACAGTTGATGAAACAATCGACACAAACCAATTCGTTTTTTCTTAAGATGCTTCGATAAGAAACAGCAGATTGTACAATAATTTACCATAATGCCAGGAGATGATGCATGTATAATATCAGGCTTGAATTGGGCAACTGCTGATATTATTCTTGGGCTGAGTGCTAGTGAGAGCGGTACCTTTTCGTACAACGGACACGGGAAACTGCCAACACATTATTACTCTTCAATTAATTAGATCAATTTATTCACAATCCACAAACACAATCTCTGTAAAATAATTGAAAAGCTAACCTTCTTGATCCAATTATTTGAGCTCCATGAAATTCCTGTGGCACTCCTTCATGAGTTGTTACAACCATTACCTGTACGCAATATCCAAATCGGCAATCGGGATTTATAGCACTAAAACTATAAAATTATCTATCTGAACAATCGAACACGACCGTGAATAACTACGAACGTACCTCATCCCCCATTTCTCGTAAGTATTTGATGAAATTCTGGAACCTGTTCTTGTATCCTGAGACGTAACTGTATACAATACAGACGAAAAACCAAAGGCATAACGATTAACAGGCAACAAGTCTAGATTAAATATACTGATGAACTTATTGTACTAAAGGGCAGCAATTAATTATGTACATCTAGACAAGAATTGCAATCAATCAATCTTTTATTAAATTACTCCAATAAGAAGCAAAACCATCCTTCATGCTAAAATTAGGCACAATATTAATTGACGACAATCAAAATCATTACTTTCACTAACCAACAAAATCATTGATTGAAAAAAAAATACAAAACATGAGAAAAATGAAAGAGACTCACGCAAAGGGAGAAGGCTCAACAAAAAGAGCAATACGCCTAGGCTTAGAATTGATCTCACATTCAACCAAAGGAAGAGGGTTCTCCTTTTCTTCTTCTTCTTCACTGTGCTCTGTAATAGACATATCGCTGCTTACCATTGTAGCTGCAATAAAAAGTCTATCTTTATAGGATCTTTCCTTGCAGAATCTCAATCCTTTACTCCTTCTATACAACAAAGACTCAGAATTTACACAAATTAGAGTAATGGGTTTCCTAATTCTTGATTTACAGGAGCAAGAAGAAACTCCAGAATGAAAAAATGTAGTAGGAGTGTATTTATAAGAGCAGGTAGATGAAGTAGAAGCAGAGAGATAATTAGTGGACATGATGATTATTGCTTTGGTTTAAATACAAATTATACTATTGAAAATTGGTCGTTACTCGGAATAAAAGAATCTTTTTTTAGGGGATTTGTTATTCTTTTCTTCTTGAATTCTATGGGGGGATGGGTTAATCTTTGAGTTTGATTGAGGCAGCTAGTGTGTGTTTGTGTGTGTGAGAGAGAGAGAGGGGGAAGAGAGAGAAAGAGGGACCAGGGAGAAGGGACTGTCCGGAATCCCGTTTGGATATTCTTTATGGGATTCGCCGGAGGTGGAGAATAACCGGAAGATGAAAGAGTATATGCTCTTCCTCCAATCAATCGACAGGGAGAATCCCCATTTCTTTAATTAATTTTCTTCTGTGGTCGTTGTCATTTGTCAGAACTTAGGATATATCAAGTAGTTGTGCGGTTAATTGGGTTTTCTTTTTTCAATTTCTATTGTAATTTTTAAATAATATTTTATGGAATTTTTAGCTCGGAATTCATTTTTTGTTTAATTTTATGCATATTAGACGGCCTCTAGTATTATATTTTACTTACAGTTGCTCCTTAAATACTCAAATGTGCGAAATTCTATTTATTAAACGATTTTATATTTTCTAATGATCATTTATCATCATAAAATATCAACATAAAATATAATTTTGCATTGTAAAGCTTTCCCGGTATTCTTAAATTTCACAACAAAAAATTATCATCATAAAATAAATAAAAAAAACAAGAAATTTGACAGCGCATATAAATATACTGATTTGAGAAGAACGTGGAGTCAGATTTCGCACGTGATTCTTGCTTGTCGGCCAACTTGCTCGTATTATTATTTACGAAATATATAATTAAAATTTTAATTATATATACAGTTTATCTACTTGAACATATTATTAAAATAAATAAATAAGTTACCGTCTCACCAATATATTTCTTGTTGCTCAAAGCCTCAATCAGCAGAACTGGGAAGAATTTACGTATGAAAATGGTAACATGCAAGATAAGGGTTTGAGAGGCATTTTAATCAGAGATATTCTTTTGAATATCCTCTTATTTGGTGTGTTTGACTTTTTTTCTAATAAAAAAATTAAATAATGAATATTTGAAGAGTGTTGTAATCAATGATCGCATTAATAATTCACTATATAATAATATATAATAAACTAGTGGTAATCCCTTAAAGCCCAATAAAATAGATGTGTACGTCTGTTATAGCTGCAATTGGGCTTAAAATTTTAAATTGGGCTTAGGTATTTTTATCCAAACATAAAGCCCAAAGAAGGAAAAAATATGGGGAAAAAAAAAAAGAAAAAAAAAGGAAAACACTAGACAGAAAAAGAGTAGTCTTGATTAGAGAAATTAGAGAGAAGATAGAACGGAAGAAGATGACGATGTTGATGAAGCAAGGACTTCTAACATGGAGCCCATACGACCCTAATTTCTTCTCAAGATTACCTCAATCATCTGTCAAGCCGCATAATTTTATCAAACCCACTTCGCCATTAACCATTTTTGCTACCAGAATCAACGGCCCACACCTAAATGCCACTCATTTCATCAGCAAACACAGTGAAGATGGAGATACCCAGGCGGAGGAGATGCGCACCAGCTTTGATTTTAAGAAGATTCTATCTACTGTGAGTAAACCAATTTGTTTTACCTCTTCTCTTCTCTTCTTTTTGCTAGTTGGGTCTTGCTTAAAAATTGAACCTTTCTAGAATGGTGTTAACTGGTAACTGCTTGTTTTGGAGTTTGATTCGTAGCTGGAACTAGTTCAATCTTAGTTTTTTTTTTTTTTATGGAATGATTTGGGTTGTTGTGATACTGATAATTTGGGGAATTAGATTTGGTATACATGAAAAGGATGTCTTGAATTCATCAACCTAGTAATGTTGTAACATTGCTAAATTGGCTTCAGAAGATTTTTTCAGTATTGTGAAACTTCAAATTAAGAGTCCAAGCCCAAGTTCTTGAAATTGGAATATTATAATCCCATTTTAACACTTGGGTTAATTTATTTTTTAGTGATTGATGACTGGACTAGCTACTAGTTGACAACTTTCGAAATGTCAAATGCAGCCATCGTATATTCGAAATGCTGCCATTGTATTAACTCGAAGTTTCTACTTATTGCAACTACAAAATGTAGTCGCATTATTCTAATTAGAGATGCCTTTAGTTTGGTGGTGATATAGTATTCCGTTTCTTGATTGTGAAGTGAAAAATAGAATGTGGATCCTAAATAATTAAAGTTTTATCGCTCTTGCAGGAAAAAATGTTCTCCAAACTGCCAGCAATGCTCGTTCTTGCCAATGCGATAATGTTCGATAAACCTCTGCAAGTACTTGCAGAAACATGTGAAGCTACTGATAATTCCATCTTCAATATGAACATGCCGGTGTTGCTTTTTGTTGCCATTGTTGGGGCAACAGTTGGAGGTAAGGTACTACCAACTCCGTGCAATTCTTTCCAACTATACGTTGATGGTAAGATAAATCAGTTGAATCATATTTTTTTCGATATTGCAGGTCTAGTTGCAAGACAGAGAAAAGAAGAACTGCAGCGACTAAACGAACAGCTCCGACAGATCAACGCAGCTCTGAGAAGACAAGCTAAGATTGAATCGTATGCCCCCACTTTGAGCTATGCCCCTGCTAGTGGAAAAATTGCAGAGGATGAAGTAATTGTTGATCCAAGAAAACCGGATTTAATAACTCGCCTGAAAAAGGGTAAAAATTTCCTCAGAAATCAAGAACCAGACAAGGCATTGTCTGAGTTCAAGTCAGCACTTGAGCTTTCCCGGAATCTTGAAGATCCAACGGAGGAGAAGAAGGCTGCAAGGGGCGTAGGTACTATATTATTTTTTAGTAGATTTAAAAATAAATAAATAAATAAATGTTCGATAAAGATTACATTTTTTTTAACATTATCCGTTTGTAGGAGCATCGCTACAAAGGCTGGGGAAATTTCAGGATGCAATAAAGTACCACTCGCTGGTTCTTGAAATATCTCAAAGAGAAGGAGAGGAATCTGGAAATGCGGATGCTTATGGAGCAATAGCTGATTGTTATACAGAACTTGGTGATCTCGAAAAAGCTGCCAAATACTACGACCAGTATATTTCAAGGTTACAATCGGACTGAATTTCTTAAATCTTTGTATTACCTACATTTGTCTTGAGTTTTTTCTGCGAATATTATCGTTTTTTTGTAGAGCTATTATGTTGTTGTTTGCCGTTTGAGTAAATTCAAAAACTATTATCTTGATTCGCGTTATTAATGTAAATTTGGTGAGGAAATTGGGGGTTATCCCAATATTTGAAAAATTTATTCGTAATTTGGATCGAATAGGTGGGTTTGATTGGTGTGAAAAAGTGGAAGTAGGTATTTGGGGTATTTACTCATGTTTAAGGCATTCCAGTCAAAAAGACATTTTCTCATTCAAACACAACATTGATTTGAATGCACAAGTTTCTTTAATGTGTGTGGTACAAGGTGAATTAAAGAAAGTTGAATGTGGAGAGAGAGAGAGAGAGAGAGAGAGAGAGAGAGAGAAGCAAAGGGAGTGGTGCAGAAAATGATGGTCAAAATGGGGCCAAAAGTAGAAATTCTGATTCTTGAGAGGAGGAATTCAATAAATAAAAAACTACAAGGGTATATCTTGGCTTTACTCCGAGAGAGTGTTATTCTCCTTTTTGCCCTTTTGTGTTGGTAATAATTTGTGGGGATTAAAGATGAGATCTTTAGTGTTCCTCTCAGAGCTCCCACCAAATATTCTCTCTTCTTTTTGACCAAATTGTCTTTTCTTTTTGGTATTTTTGTTCTAACACGCCATTTACAATTTCAATTAGAATTCAATATTCAGACAGTATAGGTAGTAATCAACTGATACGTACGAGAAAACCTCAGCAGTTAGTGAGTGCGGAGTGCAATTAAGCATGTGGAGTTACTTGTACAACTAGTCTAATCTGTGTTTAATTTTGGTCAGCAATCAACCTCGACCAATTAAAACAAAGATTAAATACTGGCTTTTAGTTAACAAGATTAGACCTCCTTTGTCTTTTCTTCCTCATCCTACTCTCTCTCTCTCTCTCATCCCAATAAATACCTCCCACTATATCAGCAACTGCCATTTCATCTTCTCCATAAAACTCTCTCTCTCTCTCTCTAAAAGACACACAAACAAAAACAGGCAGGCAGAGAAACATGAGCAGAAGAGTGAGTTTCAGCCCGGAGGCGGCATCGATGAATATGTATTCGAAGCATGGGGGGCCCACTAAAGTTGGTGGTGGTGGTGGTGGCGGTGGAAACAACAAATTATGGATATTCAAACTGCCAAAAGGGTCGTCAAGAGTGGTGGGTGGATTCTTAAGGCAAATAGGAGCAAAGGTGGCCAAAGCCGCCATGCCGCTGATGTCATCCAACCGGAGGAGGAGATCGTGTTCTACTAAGGTGGCGGTTTCATCATCTGCTGCTTTGGGTAGGTCAAGATCATATGCTGCAGAAACACTTGATTCTCAGAGGGCTCAAGCCATTGAAGACTGCATCCAGTTCTTCAACTCATCTTCTTCTTCGTCGTTCTCTTTGCAAAGATCGGATTCAGTCACCAGTTCTTGCTAGATATTATTATACACCATGTATATGATCATATAGAAAACCCTTTCTGTTTTCGTCTAGGTTATATATATCACTTTTCTTACCAGTTGTTTCGATCAAATTTTCGTTACATTTCTGTAAGAATTCATTAAGTGCTTTCCTGGCCAAGCCACATGGAAGATCTCTTGTTTCCCATTAAACAAAATTCTGGTTATGAACTTATGATATACGAATATAAAAAAATATTTGACACAAGTATTATGCATTTTATAAAATATTATTAAAAAAAACTATGTATATTAATACTTACACAAATATAACAAATTAAATCGCCCACCACAGAATATCATGCAACTACAGAGCTAGATAAACCAAATAATAAATACTGGTTTAAAAAATATTTAGTCAAACAACTATCATTTTCTACATCATTGTCACATCAATTCCCAATTTAAGTCGACCAAAGTCGTTGAAATTGACGTGGCAATATTCATGTATTGGGTTAGTACTTTAAATTTGAAAAAAATGTATGAAGATGGAATCTCATTTAACAACGTTCTCAAAAATCATAATAATAGTAGCGATATGCTTTAACATTTGACCTTCTGTCGGGCCCACAAGTTCCCTCAAAGATAATACAACACCATATTCTTTGAACAATATTCAAAAGATATTGATTGATAGAATAATTTACTTGATCACCTGGGCTCAGTGCTCAGTGATCAAGGGAAAGTTTTTCAAACCCCTGAATTCCGTTACTCAAAGCTTTCTTCATTTCTAAAGCACGCTTGTACGGTGGTGCAATAGGAGGTTGTACCGGATCTAAACTCCGGTAAGATCCATCTGCACCTTTAGGAAGCGGGTACGAACGATCCGAATCGTACCCATTTAGGTCACCGCATGCCAGAAATGGAATATACACCTTGTTTGGCCCTTCTAGCCACCCACTGCTGCAATCTGTTCAACATTTATATATTTGTTTAATAATAAAATTATGATTTTCAAGAACACTTACTTTTTATTATCGAAGAATTTTAATTTTATTTACCTAAATCATCTGCACCAGAAGGGCTTCCAATCTTCTCGAGGAGGCGATGTAGATCTTTTTCACTAAAGCCTTCAGGTGGTGAGTAATTCTCACAGACTACAAAAGCCTCTGCACAGGAAATAATGGTTATAAAATGCATTTGTCCGATGACTCAAAAACAGTCTTGCAGGAAGAGGAAATTACCTATGCTTGAATTCCGACTACTTTTCGGTTTAGCAAATGTTACTTCCGTAAAAAATAACTTTAGCTGCAGAAAAAAAAAGGAAAAAAATAAGAAGACAAAACAAAAGAATTCGTTTTCGTTTAACCTTGTTACGTGGTTACATACACAGGACAGTTTAGTGTTAATATGTCTAAAAACAGTGAATCGTTTAGTGTGCACTTATGTCATGAAACGAGATTTCACGAATTACAATAGGGCAAAATGGACTTACAGTTATGAAAAGGGACAATTATGCAAGTATAACAAACCTGACAGTAAAGGAGACTAGTGTCTTTTCCTCGAAATATTTTTGCAATAAACTTCCCACCTTGTTTTAGTATGTGTGTGACTATTGTCAATGCCTGCAAACATGTTTGGCCAACCTCTGACATCAGCATGAGACATGAGAACAAACATCTCGTATAAATTCATGAGAACAAAGCGGTCTAGGGTTCATGAGAAAAACTAACCGCCAATATGAGTTGGGATTGCACAAATTCATCCATGTCATGTAGGCCAGTTACTGAAATATGCAGAGAAAGCACATTGATATATGTTTAAATGAAACGTCATGCTATTTAACAATGATTTTAACTAACCATCAGGTGCACCATCACATACAACAAGATCGGCCTTGCCTCCATCAAAATGTCGAATGACCTACAAATCAAAGAAATGTAGCAGTAGATGCATGTATTATGAGAGAAGATACTAAAAAATTAAAAGGGTGAAAAGAATTGAAGAATATTAGCATGAGACTGATACACACAGAATTACACTAAGGTAGACAATTACACACAACAGTGCGTGTTTATAGATAGATAGATAGGTAGATGGAGCAGGAAGAACGTGCACACCGTTTCAGCTGTCCGTGCATTTGTTATATCCCCTTGAACTTGAATAACACCTTCTATAGGAGCCATGGGCTGCAAATCAATGGCCACAATAAGTGGTAGATCACTGTCCCTGCATAGTTTGTACCAATTGATTGAAACAAAAAATATAAATGAAGATTCAAAAGAACAAAAAAGAAAAGGATGAAAATTCACCAAGAAAACATACTTGGAATCAGGTGACATCTTTGCTGGGAGATAAAGATTCCGACTCAAAACCTGAATGGAAGACACACCAAAGTTTAGTGAAATGTAGAAACAAAAATCTCACTAACTTGGAGAATTAAATGAAAATTACAGATACCTGACTCCAGCTTCCAGGTGCTGCACATAAATCTACCACACGCTTCACCCCTGTAAATTATTTTAATTGACATTATACTATTTGAAGATAACAATATACATACACAATTATCAATCAATTCGATATAGTCATATAGAAAATCAAGAGTGCATTCCTTAAATAAGCCCAAATAACCTTCAAATATGTTGAATTCCTCGTCAATCTGAAGCAATTTGAAGGCACTTCTGGCACGCCATCCTTCCTCTTTGGCTTTCCTATAGTAGATGTCCTGCAATATCAATCAATGCATTACAAAAAACCCCAATAGAATAGAATCCCGCAAGAAATTAAGAAGTTTTGTGGATCAGAGAAGAGGTTTTACTCGTTTATCTCTCGAAGCTTTTCCCATTGGTTTTGACTGAGCAGAACAACAGCGAAAACTTTGCTTATAAAATATGAATTGTAGACCCTCTAAAACTGATCCCTGTCAATGAAAAGCAAAGCATGGAATTATTAGTTAACTCCAAAAGGTATGTAATTTCTTAAACCCAGTAGTTACATCAAACAGGTTATGTGCATGTTCAAATTTCACCACACGTGTTTCGTCGAGTTACTTGAAACTCAAATCCGAGTCGGACCCGCTTCCAGCCTCCCAAACTCACCACCCATAAACCCAACCAACCCAGCATCTACTAATAACATGTAAAAAATGACATTCACCAATATATGCAAGACAGAAAAACATACGAGCACGCAGTTAATGAAAATAAAGTACCGTTATCAAGAAAAGGATTCTTCGAACTTCTAGCACGCAAAGAACTCTCGAGATTTCGAAGGGCTGCCGGAGGAAAAATGAGGAGGATGAAATTCCCGGCAACGAAGATCGGAGAGAGATGAGAAACGGCCGATACTAAATTGCAGACACATTAAAGGGCAAATTAGTAAAAAGGGCTTTTAATTAGAAATTATCGAGGCCCAAATACATATGTTTTCAGGCCCAATATTTTTAAATAAATAAAGCCTCATGGGCCTCGTTAAATAGAAGGTCCGTTGAAATTTAAATGCCCATTAAACAATATTATATAAAATTTTCAACTCCAAATTCAATTAAAAAAAATAAGAGCATTCGTCTATAACCTTATTTTTTATTTTTTATTTAATCTTAGAATTATTATTCTTAAGAAGTCCTCATTTTTGTGAGTTACTTGTAAAAAAAAAAATTAAAAAAAATACGTCATTTTTGTTTTTTCTGCTAATGTTAATAATATTGGAATTGTTTTAGTATTTTTTTCATTAAAAAAAAAAAGAATTGTTTTAGTATTTGGAGCTATGATTAAATGTTTGCTCTACCGCCCAATTCAAGGATTTGTTGAAATTTATGTTAGTGGCATCAAATCTTGTGTGAAGTGGTACGTGACTAGTTTTCAATCGAATCCACAATATACCATATTTTCGAGGTTTATTAATATATACAAAGAAATATTATTATACAATTAGCCATTCATTATAAATATTCTAGTCTGTTGATCTACAGTAAATACTATATTATTAAATATAAATATTATATTAAAAGGCGAAATGCCATACTGAAATTATTTAGTTTCCTTTGTCCATAGGGTGAAGAGTTAAATTGAGAATTTATGGGTGTCTGTTGTCTTATGAAGGAGGGCACGTGACATGCACGAGGGACCCTCCGCCTGGTATGTCTGTCCTTGTTGCTGCTGCTGTCATCTAAAGACTAAAGCCTCAACCTACCTATTTGCGGTATTATTATCATAAGGGGAAACTACAGATAAATCCCTAATCCAAAAGTCAACACACAGATCAGTCCCGAGGTAGTTTCCCCAAGCAATTCAGCCCCTATTCACGCGTCTGACATGCAGTTCAGTCCCTAATGTGAATTTTATATATTTTAATATATTCTCTCTCTTTCGTTTTCACTCTCACCCCTTTTTC